TGTGTGCATGTATATATGTATATATGTGTATATATATATATGTATGTGTGTATATTTGTGTGTGTGTACGAGTGTGTGCATGTGTGTGCTATATATATATATATATATATATATATATATATATATATATATATGAGTGGATTTGTATATGTATATATGGTGTATTTTTTGGATTTTTAAGTCTGTTCCGCTCTGTGTGTGTGTGTGTGTGTGTGTGTTTAGGGGTGATAGACACTCATTGGACTGCTAGGTGTCTTGTGTCCAAATTTGGTGTCAATTCCCCCAGTGGTTTTTGAGTTATGCTAATCTCACAAACGAACATGACATGTTTATTTATAGAGATTACGTATACATAGTTAATTTGGCCTGTATACATATACCTAGTTAAATTAAACATTGTTGTGTTGCTGTGTCTTGCAAAGCCTGGTCAGTTCATTCTTTGTCTGCTATGGGTTTGGCAGCCTCATAATTGGATGGGCTCTGCAGCCTCAGAAACTGCAGAATAATGGGCTTTGTAGTGGCTCTGCTGAGGACTCATAGGCGTTACAGTCTCTCTCCTGCAGACTAATGGACTTTGAAGCGACAAAGGAATCTAGGTCACTGAAGGGAGGGAGGGAGGGAGGGAGGGGAGGAGGATAAAGCCCTCTCATCCCTCGCCCAGAAGGGAGGACCAACCAAGGCGGAACAGGCCCACGAGCGATGGGTTACGCAGTCCCGTCTATGCGGCAACACTAAGGAGCAAAACTGGCCTGGAAAATAATCAAGGTTGCTGGGAGTCGTTTCTTAGTTTGTTTTCGTCCGAGGCTGAGAGAGTGCGACTATCCCCTGGATTCGAACCCAGAGCTCCCCACAAAAGGGAGTTGCAGTCTAGCTCTTTGCAAAGATATCGGTGTTAGAGTATATTATTATTTTTATTATAGAACTAGCTTGGGGACCCGGCGTTGCCCGGGTAATTTGAGAAAGGCATTGTGTGCCAAGGTTGGTCTTTATCAGTCATTTATGTGGCTCACAGTGCTCTCAGGAAGTTAGTGAAGGTACTGCAAGTCCCATCGTCCATGGTTCATCCGCCTCCAAACAGCACCAGGACATAGAATGGGTGATGGGGGCTCTGTGTGCCAAGTCTGGTCTTGATCAGTCATTGGATGAGGGTTGTAGCGGTCTCGGGAAGTGAGTGAAGTTACTTCAAGTCCCATCATCCGTGGTCCATCCTCCTCCAAACCGCACCAGGATGTAGAGTGGGTCATGAGGGCTCCGTGTGCCAAATTTGGTCTTTATTGGTCTTTGTTGGGGGCTGCAGTAGTCTGTGGGAACCGAAGGGTGGGAAAGTACTACAAATCCCATCAACCTTTGTCCATCCTCCCTCAAACCTCACCAGGATGTAAAGGGGGTCATGGGGGTTATGGGTGCCAAGTTTGGTCTTTATCAGTCTTTGTTGGGGGCCAAAGTGCTTCTGTGGGAACCAAAGGGTGGGAAAGTACTACAAATCCCATCAACCTTTGTCCATCCTCCCTCAAACCTCACCAGGATGTAAAGGGGGTCATGGGGGTTATGGGTGCCAAGTTTGGTCTTTATCAGTCATTGTTGGGGGCCACAGTGGTCTGTGGGAACGGAAAGGTTTGAAAGTACTACAAATCCCATAATCCTTTGTCCATCCTCCCTCAAACCTCACCAGGATGTAAAGGGGGTCATGGGGGTTATGGGTGCCAAGTTTGGTCTTTATCAGTCTTTGTTGGGGGCCAAAGTGCTTCTGTGGGAACCAAAGGGTGGGAAAGTACTACAAATCCCATCAACCTTTGTCCATCCTCCCTCAAACCTCACCAGGATGTAAAGGGGGTCATGGGGGTTATGGGTGCCAAGTTTGGTCTTTATCAGTCTTTGTTGGGGGCCAAAGTGCTTCTGTGGGAACCAAAGGGTGGGAAAGTACTACAAATCCCATCAACCTTTGTCCATCCTCTCTCAAATCTCACCAGGACGTAAAGGGGGTCATGGGGGTTATGCGTGCCAAGTTTGATCCAGGTCTGTCACCCATGCTGGTCACAGTGGCCTGTGAAAGTGGGAGCCAATCAGAAAGCTGCCACATACACCATCCTCCCTCCGCATACAAACACTTTTATTGTATACATAGATAATAATAATAATAATAATAATAATAATAATAATAATAATAGCAGCTGACATGGTATGAGGATTTAAACATGGAACTGCAAAGACTTTGGCACAAGCCAGTCAAGGTGGTCCCAGTGGTGATGGGCACACTGGGTGCAGTGCCTCAAGACCTTGGCCTGCACTTAAACACAATCAGCACTGTCAAAATTGCACCTGTCGGCTGCAAAAGGCCACCCTACTTGGATCTGCACGCATTATTTGCCAATACATCATACAGTCCTAGACACTTCAGAAGGGTCCGATGCGTGATCAAAAAGCCAGCAGAGTGCTGTGTACTTACCTTTTTATGTATCTAATAATTACCATAATATAATATAATATAATATAATATAATATAATATAATATAATATAATATAATATAATATAATATAATATAATATAGCAAAGACTCTGGCACAAGCCAGTCAAGGTGGTCCCAGTGGTGATGGGCACACTGGGTGCAGTGCCTGAAGACCTTGGCCTGCACTTAAACACAATCAACACTGACAAAATTACCATCTGCCAGCTGCAAAAGGCCATCCTACTGGGATCTGCATGCATTATTCGCCAATACATCACACAATCCTACACACTTGTGAAGGGTCCAATGTGTGATCAAAAAGCCAGCAGAGTGCTGTGTACTTACCTTTTTATGTATCTAATAATTACCATAATATAATATTATAATATATTATATTATAATATATTATAATATATTATAATATATTTTAATATGTTATATATTATACTATACTATACTATACTATACTGTACTGTACTGTACTATACTATACTATACTATACTATACTATACTATACTATACTATACTATACTATAATATAATATAATATAATATAATAATATAACAAAGACTCTGGCACAAGCCAGTCAAGTTGGTCCCAGTGGTGATAGGCACACTGGGTGCAGTGCCTCAAGACCTTGGCCTGCACTTAAAAACAATCAGCGCTGACAAAATTGCACCTGTTGGCTGCAAAAGGCCACCCTACTTGGATCTGCATGCATTATTTGCCGATACATCATACAGTCCTAGACACTTCGGAAGGGCCTGATGTGTGATCAAATACAACGGCCAACAGAGTGCTGTGTACTTATATTTTTATGTATCTAATAATAATAATATAATATAATATAATATTATAATAATAATTATAATATAATATAATATAATATAATATAATACAGCAAAGACTCTGGCACAAGCCAGTCAAGTTGGTCCCAGTGGTGATAGGCACACTGGGTGCAGTGCCTGAAGACCTTGGCCTGCACTTAAAAACAATTGGCACTGACAAAATCACCACTGCCACCTGCAGAAGGCCACCTTACTGGGATCTGCACGTATCATTCGCTGATGCATCACAGAGTCCGAGACACTTGGGAAGGGTCCAACGTGTGATCCAATTCAACAGCCAGCAGAGTGATCTTGTCTGCTGTGGACTCATCTTATTGTGTTTCCAATAATAATAATAATAATAATAATAATAATAATAATAATAATAATAGTTGTCGAAGGTTTCATGGCCACCTAATCACCTCTCAACAAAAGACTGCTCCAGGCACTGCCAGGCCATCAAATGCCAATCAAGGTGGTCAGTTGAAACATTCCCACCTAGCTCCAGCAGACAAGAGTCCTTTGTCCCACCCTGGTCATTCCACAAATATATAAATCCCATTTTTCCTATTTCCAGCAGACCTCACTACCTCTGAGGATGCTTGCCATAGATGCAGGCGAAACGTCAGGAGAGAATGCCTCTAGAACATGGCCATATAGCCCGAATACACCTAGCTCCAGCAGACAAGAGTCCTTTGTCCCACCCCAGTCATTCCACAGATATATAAACCCTTTTTCCTATTTCCAGCAGACCTCACTACCTCTGAGGATGCTTGCCATAGAGGCAGGCGAAACGTCAGGAGAGAATGCCTCTAGAACATGGCCATATAGCCCGAATACACCTAGCTCCAGCAGACAAGAGTCCTTTGTCCCATCCCAGTCATTCCACAGATATATAAACCCTTTTTCCTACTTCCAGCAGACCTCACTACCTCTGAGGATGCTTGCCATAGATGCAGGCGAAACGTCAGGAGAGAATGCCTCTAGAACATGGCCCTATAGCCCGAAAAAACCCACAAGAACCCATAATAATAGTGAATCGTCTTAGTGTGAGCCAAAGCCAAAGCCAAAGGGGAAGCTGAAAATCAGGGTGTGAATTGATTATCTTATTATTAGAATATAATAAATATTTATTATATTAATACTAAGATATATTTAGTATTTTAGTTTCAATTAAATGCAGCTTCCTAAAGTGGGCTGAAACTTTGCACTCTATTCAACCAAGAACTCAAAGTCAAATCCAACGAGAGAGAAAAAACAATTGCAAAGAGATTTACTGATTTTTTTGTTACTGTTTTTTAATGGAAAATATAGAAAGGAATGACGTGTGAGGGGGAAAAAGGGATAAAAAAGAGACTCAGTGGGGGAAAGAGGGAGTCCGGAAGGAAAGAAGAAAAAGGAAGGAAGGAAGGAAGGAAGGAAGGAAGGAAGGAAGGAAGGAAGGAAGGAAGGAAGGAAAGAGGGAAGAAATGTCCAAAAGGTGGAAAGGAAGAAGGGAAAAGGAAAGGGAGAAAAGACAGAAAAAGGAAGCACGGGAAATGAGGGAGAAAACAAAGGAAGGGGAAGAAAAGGAAGACATTATGAGAGAGAGAGAGAGAGAGAGAGAGAAGAAGAAGAAAAGGAGAAAGAAAAAAAGGAGAAGAGAAGGAAAAAGGAAAGGAGGAAGGAAGGAAAGGAAGAAGAGGAGGAGGAAGAAGAGGAGGAGGAAGAAGGAGAGGAGGAAGGGGAAGAGGAAGAGGAGGAGGAAGAAGGAGAAGAGGAAGTGAAAGAAAGGGAGGAGGAAGAAGAGGAAGAAGAAGAGGAGGAGGAAAAAGAGGAAAGCAGAAAAGGAGAAGAGAGAGAAGAAAGGCCAGTTTCCTTTGAGATAGAAGACCGCAAGATAGAGGAAGGAAAGAGGGATGAGGAAATAGAAATCCTGGATGTGGGGGACCTCCCCATGTTCCTTGCATAGCGGAGGGGGTCAAAGGGGGGCGACCCCGAGTGACCCTCTCCCAGTTGTGCCCAGTGGTGTCCCTGAGATCCCAGTTCCTGAGTGGCCTGGTGTGGCGTCCTGAGGGTTTGCTCGGCGCAGGAGGTTCTTCACAGTGATCCATGGCGTTTGTGCGGGGGGGGGGGGGGGTGGGGGGGGGGGTCTCCAAGGGTGGTCACCCGGGGCAGGGCTGTCCGGAGGGGCTGGCCAGGTCCAGGTCGAAGTCGGAGAAGGCGGCGGAGTCCATGGGGGTCTCGGCGGCCCGCTGGAGGCCCAGGACAAAGTCCACCGGCTGCTTGCGGAGGATCTCGGCGTCAAAGGTCATGCCCCGGAAGAAGAGGTGGCCGCGGAAGTGGTGCAGGTAGCGCAGGCGCCGCTGAGGGTCCGGGCACAGGAGCTGGGCATCAACAACAACAACAACAACAACAACAACACTTCATTTGTATTCCGTCCCATCTCCTTGAGGGAACTTGGGTGGATTCCAGCATATACAAGGCAAACATTCAATGCCTAGACACAACTGGTGCTCATCTCCATTTCTAAGCCAAAGAGCCGGCGTTGCCCAGAGGCACCTCCTAGGTCATGCGGCCAGCATGACTGCACGGAGCATCATTTACCTTCCCACATCGTTAAAATGAGCAACATTCAAATCAAAGCCTATCTTCGATATAAATAAAAATGTAATGTTCGTTTGTGGGATGAACATAACTTAAAAACCACTGGATGAAGTGACATCAAATTGGGACACAAGGCACCTACTAACCCAAGGAGTGAACCTCACTCAAAAAAATACTGAAAAACGTAGTGTAAGAGACTTAAAAGCCAAAAAACAAAAATACATTATAATGCATGTGCATAACCACACAAATACACATATACACAAATATATGCACACAAATATTATACACATATATGCAAACACAAAACACATATACACAGACTGGGCCACAGCAACACATGGCAGGGGACGGCTAGTATATAAATAAGATTGTAACATTCGTTTGTGGGATTAACATAACTCAAAAACCACTGGACAAATTGACCCCAAATTTGGACACAAGACACTTCTCAGGCCAACGAGTGACCATCACTCATCAAAACACTCAAAAACACAGCAGAAGGGACTTGAAAAGCCCCCAAACGCCAAAAATACATTACAACGCACACACAAAACCACATATATACACAAAAAAAAGCCAAAAAACAAAAAAAATACATTACAACACATGCGCAAAACCACATATATATACACAAACACACATATATATACGCACATATATATATATATATGCATATACACACACAAAACACATACACAGAAAGGGGGAAGGAAGGAAGGAAGGAAGGAAGGGTAGAGAAGGATGGAAAGGGAAGAAGGGAGAAAAGGGGGGAAAGAAGGAAAGAAAGAAGGAAAGAAAGAAGGGTAGAGAAGGAAGGAGAGAAAGAAATAAAAAAGTGAAAGAGGGAAGGAAGGAGAGAAGGAACGAAAGAGAGAAAGAGGGAGGGAAGGAAGGAAGGCAAGGGACAAGGAAGGATGGAACCAAAGAGCAAAAGAAACGAGAGAAAAACAGGTAAAGGAAGAAAGAAGAAGGGAAATAAAAAGAGGGAAGGAAGGAGAGAAAGAAAAGGAGGAAGGGAGGAAAGGAAGAAGAAGAGGAGGAAGAGGAGGTGGAGGAAGAGGAGGAGGAGGAAGAAAGAGGAGGAGGAAGAGAAAGAGGGGGAGGAGGAAGAGGAGGAGGAGGAAGAAGAAGGAAGAAGAAGAGGAGAAAGAGGAAGAGAAGAAGGAAGAGGAGGTGGAGGAAGAGAAAGAGGGGGAGGAGGAGGAAGAAGAAGAGGAGGAGGAACCACTGGATGAATTGACTCCAAATCTGGAGACAAGACAACGAGTGACCATCACTCAAAAACACAGCGGAAGAGACTTTAAAAGACACAAAAAAAATATGTGCACAAAACCACATATATACACATATATACAAATATACACACACACATATACACTTCTTCCTCTTCTTCTTCTTCTTCTTCTTCTTCTTCTTATTATTATTATTATTATTCTTAGATCGTATTATTGCTGTGCCATAGTCAAAGGTGAAGCTTGAAATCAGGGTGCACATTAATTATCTTATTATTAACTTATTATATTTATATTATAATTATATTATAATTATATTATGATTATATGCCAATAAAGGCTTACTGGATTTGATAATTATATTATAATAATTATTATAACATATTATATTACTAAGATGGGCCACAGCAACACGTGGCAGGGGACGGCTAGGTCATTATAAGTACCATTAAAGCGAGAGTAATGTTTGAGTCAATCAAAACCTTTTCACTATAAACACCGCCAAACAGAAGTCAATCAAGCACAGTTTCGTGACAATTGCTGTTAAAACGAGAGTCGAGCACGATTAAAGTGAGAGTCACAATGAACACCGTGAGCGTCGCTCTCAAGAGCCTTTTCATTCCACATTTGGGACATTTCAACCCAGGAAGTGTTGGGGTTCAGCCTGATCCTGATCTGTGTGAACCGGATTCTCTGATAGTTTTTCCAACTGAGCAAGCTCTCCCTGACAGTGTGGAATCTGTTGTTGATGCTGAGGTCAGCGGCGAGGAAAGTGAAACTGAACAGCTGGAGGAAAATGTTTTGGAAGCTAGCCGTGATATCTCTCCACCTGGGTTTTTTTAATGAGGACCGAAGAGAACAGATAGTTAGAGACAGAAATGTTTCACAGTTTCTACGAAGGTCAAATCGTTTACAGGAGAGACAGGCCCAGGCTTCAAAGTCAAGGGGCGTTTCAAAGAATATCTTCTTTGGTTTAAGGGGCCTCCTGCCGGGTGTCTCTTTAGATCAAGCAACGTTTGGGACTGTGGCTGTGCCTTGGCAGAATTCCTGTGTTCCATGGCCGGTAATCCCAGAGGCTTCTAGTTTTCAAGTTCATGATTAGCGAGAGGCTAAAAGGTTCCTGGTTCTTGTATTGTGGCTTTTTGGAATTTTGCTCAAGTTCAGAGACTCTACTGACTGCTGTGTTTCTATTGTGGCTTTTTGACTTTGCATTTACCTTTCTTTTGTAACCAATTTTTCATCAATAAACAAGGATTGTTTTTCCTACAGTCCAGTGTGGTAGATTTAATCTTATGGTCTCGTTTCTTGATCTGGGATGCAACAGGAAGGCAGAATATATTTTGAATTTTGTAAACAAGGCCCTGCGAAATGTGCTTACCTCACTGAGGAGAAGGCGCAGCCCAAGGCCGAGCGAGGACGGGACGGTGTAGCTGCAGTTTTTCACACTTTCCAGCATGCTGACGTGGTCCTTCTCCGGAGGAACTGGGAACTGTGGTGGAAAACACAGAGATCAAGGGAGAAGCTAGAACTGCGTCTCCCGGTTCTTGCGTGGCTGCAGTCTTTGTGGGTGTGTCAAAGCATGGGGAGGGGAACCCATTAATGTCATCGAACGGAGAGGATGCGTAATCCGTACCTTCCCAGTCGCCAGTGCAAACAGCAGGACCCCCATAGACCACCAGTCGGCCGGATGGGCGTACGGACCGCCACTCAGGACTTCCGGGGCTGACAGAAGAGAAAAGAAAGACTTTCACAAAAAACTGAACCACCAGCTGCACTATGTTTTGCCTATCGAAAGGTTAGCAGTTCGAAGCTGGTTGGTGAGCAGATTGAAAACAGCAGTGAGAAGATAAATAAATACCAGGAAATGCCAGCGATTCATTCAAAAGGAGGAAGTCTGTGAATAGAGCTTTATGGCATGGTGGATAGAGCCACAGCACCCCCCTGTGGCCAAAGTCAAGCACAACCTCCAAGACGCCGAAGAAAGAAAAAGGCTATATATACCTCTATCTATGTACTGTGTCCGTCCTATCAGTGTATAACGGCACTGAATGTGTTCTGTGATCCGCCCTAAGTCCCCTTCAGGGTGAGGAGGGCGGGATATAAATAAATACTGTAAATAAATATAAACAAACATATCCTATTTTAATTATCAATCTATCAATTGATAGGATCCATCCAGCTTCATAGATAGTAGCACGTCTATAGAGAAGTCATAAAATTGTAGACTTGGAAGAGACCGCATAGGCCATCGAGTCTATCCTCCTGCTATGTCGGAAAAGCACAATCAAAGCACCCCCAGCAGATGGCCATCAACCTCAACAACAACAAGACAGTTGGAAGGGATCACATGGGCCATCTAGTCTATCCTCCTGATATGTAGGGAAAGGACAATCAAAGCACCCCCATCAGATGGCCATCAACCACAACAACACAATTGGAAGGGATCACATGGGCCATCTAGTCTATCCTCCTGCTATGTAGGAAAAGCACAATCAAAGCACCCCCGACAGATGGCCATCAACCACAACAACAACACAGCTGGAAGAGATCACATGGGCCATCTAGACTATCCTCCAGCTATGTAGGAAAAGCACAATCAAAGCACCCCCAGCAGATGGCCATCAGCCACAACAACAACACAATTGGAAGGGATCACATGGGCCATCTAGTCTATCCTCCTGCTATGTAGGAAAAGCACAATCAAAGCACCCCCGACAGATGGCCATCAACCACAACAACAGACCACATGGGCCATCTAATCTATCCTCCTCCTATGTCGGAAAAGTACAACCAAAGCACCCCCAGCAGATGGCCATCAACCACAACAACAACACAGTTGGAAGAGATCACACGGGCCATCTAGTCTATCCTCCTGATATGCAGGAAAAGCACAATCAAAGCACCTCCAGCAGATGGCCATCAACCACAGCAACAACAACACAGTTGGAAGAGACCACATGGGCCATCTAGTCTATCCTCCTGCTGTGTCAGAAAAGTACAATCAAAGCACTCCCAACAGATGGCCATCAACCACAACAACAACACGGTTGGGAGACATCACATGGGTCATCTAGTCTATCTTCCTGTTATGTCGGAAAAGTACAATCAAGGCACTCCCAGTAGATGGCCCTCAACCTCAACAACAACAACACAGTTGGAAGACACCACATGGATCATCTAGTCTATCCTCCTGCTATGTCAGAAAAGCACAATCAAAGCACCCCCAGCAGATGGCCATCAACAACAACAACAGTTGGACGAGACAACATGGGCCATCTAATCTATCCTCCTGTTATGTCGGAAAAGCAACAACAACAACAACAACAACACAATTGGAAGAGACTGCATGGACCATATAGTCTATCCTCCTGCTGTGTCAGAAAAGCACAATCAAAGCACCCCCAGCAGATGGCCATCAACCACAACAACAACAACACAGTTGGAAGAGACAACATGGGCCATCTAGTCTCTCCTCCTGTTATGTCGGAAAAGCACAATCAAAGCACCCCCATCAGATAGCCATCAACCGCAACAACAACAATACAGTTGGAAGAGACTGCATAGGTTATCTAGTCTAACCCCCTTCTGCCTTCATGCAGGAAAAGCACAATCAAAGCCCACCCAATAAATGGCCATCCAGCCTCTGTTTCAAAGCCTCCAAGGAAGGAGTTTCAACTGGACTTTGAGGCAGAGAGTTTCACTGTTGAACGGCTCTTACTACCAGGTGCGTTCGGGTGCAATCCATAGCCTTGCTCTTATTTCTGGGCTGCCCACCCCACTGCCGCCCCGCCCTCCTCCCAACGAAAGAGCCTCACCCATATATTGGAGGGTCCCGCAAATGGTGTAGGCCCGTTCCCCGCAAGCCAAATGGCGCGAAAGGCCAAAATCTGTCAGCTTCAAATGCCCTGTGGAAAAACAACGCAATTGTAATGCTACGGAGCATCCCCTTTTTGAGACTACAAGTCCCATTAATCAACATATTAATCAACTTTGGGGGTCAAAATCTTCCTCAAAAGATTTTTACCCAGACAAGTAAGTTTGCTCTAGATGCATCCTTGGTGGGGTTCAACATGCTCTCTGGCTGTAGGGTAAACTACAACTCCCACTATGGTGAGTCAGTCCCCTCCAACCCCTCCAGTAGGTTGAGTTAGTCATGGAGGGTTTGTGTGCCAAGTTTGGTCCAGGTCCACCATTGGCGGAGGTCATCTTTTCTCTGGTTGTGGGTGAACTACAACTCCCAGAAAGGAAGGTCAGTTTCCCCCCAAAGCCCTTCAGTCATCAAATTTCGGCATATCAGGTCTGTGTGCCACGTTTGGTCCAGATCTCCGGACGTAGGTGAACTACACTCTTCGGACGTAGGTGAACTACAACTCCCAAAAATCAAGGTGAATTTTCCCCATAGACTTCCAGTACTTTTTGCTGGTCATGGGGGCTCTGTGTGCCAAGTTTGTTCCAATTCCCTCTTTGGTGGAGTTCAGAGTGCTCATTGACTGCAGGTGAACTATACATCCCAGAACCTACATCTCCAAAATGCCCAGGCAGAGACTCAGAGCGGCTTACAAGATATAGATACAGACAATATATTATAGTATTAGCATAGTACAATATCAGTATTAAATATTACTATATTGTACTATACCATTATATTATTATATTATTAGTATGTATAATTATATTATCATATTATCAGTAGTAGTATTATATTGCATTGCATTATAATATTATAAATATTATATGTATATACAATAGATTATGAATGGATCTCCAAAATCCCATTGGGAAGACGGGACTTTCTGGCCTTTGAAATCCATCTGAATGAGTCCTAAGAGTGGGCTTCTTTGGCGTGACAATTTGGGGGTGTCTTCGCCACCAATAGACCATTACCTTGTTCATCCAGGAGGATGTTTTCCATCTGCAAAGACAAGAGGAAACCCATCACAACCCATGGGAGAAGCCAACCAAAGGTCTATGGTGGAATGTCAATGGGTTGGATATCCCACCAAAAAGGTAAACAAAGGAGACCAGAAGGAGGAGGAAGGCTTGGAAAACGACCCTTGTTGGGGTGTCCCACCCAAATAGGTACCCAAACCAATAAATAATAATAATAATAATAATAATAATAATAATAATAATTTCCTACAATTTCCACCCCCCAATGCCCCCAATAATAATAATAATAATAATAATAATAATAATAATAATAATAAATAATTTCCTACAATTTCCACCCCCTGCGTACCTTGACGTCCCGATGGACAATGCCCAGGTTATGGAGATAAGCTAGGAAAATAGGAATGGAGAGAAATAAGAGAGAGAGAAAGCCTGGTCCAGGATTACAACTCCATACCTATTGGACTACAACTCCCAGCGGTCATTGCCGGGACTGATGGGAGCTGCGATCCCTGCTCAACTCCCAAGATGAGGTGCAACCCTGTGTATCCTGACCCCAATGAGGTCCCCCATAATGATCTCCACGGCGTGGGCGCTCACCTAGCACCAGGACCAGCTCCGTGGCAAAGAGGCGCAGGACGGCCTCCGCAAAGCGGCCCACCGACTTCCACAGGGAGTAAAGGTCTCCCGTGCTGCAATAGGAACACACTGGCCGGAGGAAGGAAGGAAGGAAGGAAGGATAGGGCAGGACGAAGGAAGAATAAAGGGAGGGAGAGAGCAACAGAAAGCATGTCAACTCCACTGATGTTGCATGTGGGTTTTAACACATATAGGGAATTGTCAGAAGTCTGGAAACTCTGTCGGGAAGGCTTTGATGGTGTCCTCATGGCAAAAGGGAGTTTGGACTGGATGGCCTCTGAGGGTCCCTTCCAACTCTGAGATTCTATGACCATATAGCCTTACTTCTCCATAAACATGCTAATATCTATGAAGCTAGATGGCCATCAGTTGGGAAGGCTTTGATGGTGTCTTCATGGGAAAAGGGAGTTTGGACTGGATGGCCTCTGGGGGTCCTTTCAAACTCTGAGATTATATGACTATATAGCCTTACTTCTCTGTAAACATGTGAATATCTATTAAGCTGGATGGTCATCTGTTGGGAAGGTTTTGATGGTGTCTTGATGGCAGAAGGGAGTTTGGACTGGATGCTCTCTGGGGGTCCCTTAAAACTCTGAGATTCTATGACTGTATAGCCATACTTCTCCGTAAACATGCTAATATCTATTACTTCTCAGTTTCTATGAAGCTGGATGATCATCTGTCGGGAAGGCTTTCATGGTGTCTTCATGGCAGAAGGAAGTTTGGACTGGATGGCCTCTGGAGTCCCTTCAAACTCTGAGATTCTATGACTGTACAGCCTTACTTCTCCATAAACATGCGAATATCTATGAAGTTGGATGGCCATCTGTTGGGAAGGTTTGGATGGTGTCTTGATGGCAGAAGGGAATTTGGACTGGATGGCTTTTGGGGGTCCCTTCCAGCTCTAAGATTATATTACTCTATAGCCTTCTCCATAAACATGCTAATATTGCTTTAATTGCTGTAAGGGGGCAGGATATAAATAACTAATTAATAATTAATATTAATAATAATAATACGAAATACAGCATATAGATCTCGTTTACTGTGACATACTGTGTTTTTGTGTCAGTAAAATAATAATAATAACTAATAATAATAATGACTATTGTTGTTGTTATTATTATTATTATTATTATTATTATTAGGCTGGATGACCATCTGTCAGGAGGGCTTGGCTGGTGTCCTTCTTGATGGCCCAATGGATGGTCCCTTCTAGGCCCTGGCATCCCATGATGCCCTGCTCCCTGCTTGCTCCGCATGAGATTAAATGCCCTCCTCCCATGGTCCAGCAGGATGTGTCCAGCGGGAATCTAAATCCCTTGATCCTATGCGGGGGGGGGGGGGGGCGGTGGGGGCGGGGGGGGGGGGGGGGCAATCTGTTCCCTCTCGGACAAAAGCAGGGTGGGCAAAGGCCTTGGAAGGGCCGGCCGCCTTGCGGTCACATGCGTGGCCAGCTGACCGATGGCTCCGAGGGAGGGAGGGATGTTGACAGGACTCTGGCCACTGCCCGCCTGCCTGGCTGCCTGCCGCAGGGCCCCGCTGGTCACTCACGGATGAAGAGGTGGCGCTGGCCTTGCCACGTGTCTCCCACGCAGTGGACAAAGGGGTGCCGGACCTGCCTCTGCGGGGACAGAGAGGGGAGGGGGGGAGTGAGCAGGAGGACCCCCAGATTGAGGCCCAAAGGGGCAAGGAAAGGGGGGGTCCAAATGGGGTGCCAAGAGGAAGTCCAAAGGGGCACCCAAAGGGGGTTCAAAGGGGCAAGGAAAGGGGGATCCAAAGGGGTGCCAAAGGGGCACCAAAAGAGGGTCCAAAAGGGGTGCCAAAAGGGGGGTCCAAATGGGGTACCAAAAGGGGGTCTAAAGGGGCATTAAAGGGGGGGTCCAAAGGGGCACCAAAAGAGGGTCCAAAAGAGGTGCCAAAAGGGGGGTCCAAATGGGGTACCAAAAGGGGGTCTAAAGGGGCAAAAAAAGGGGGGTCCAAAGGGGTGCCAAAAGGGGGGTCCAAAGGGGTGCCAAAAGGGGGGTCCAAAGGGGTGCCCAAGGGGGTGCCAAAAGGGGGATCCAAAGGGGTGCCAAAGGGGGGGTCCAAGTGACACCCGAGGGGGGTCCCAATGGGGCGCCAAAAGGAGTTCCCGTTATCCTCTGTTGACAAAAGCCCACCCAGAAAGAAACTCCAACTGTGCATTATTGTTGTTGTTGTGAGACTCTGGGTGCCCCCCTGGGCCCCCCTACCAGCGTGGACTTCCCGCAGGGCTCCTCGTGGGACCCACCTGGATGCTGACCTCTTCCTTGCACTGCTTCAGAGTGTCCCGGCGCAAGACCTCCACTTTGGGGACGACCTACAACAATGGGATGGAAGAAGAGAGCTAGTGGGTGCCCTTCCCTCCCTCTCTCCCGCTTGAATGGCCGGACCCCCAACTCTTCCGAAACTACAACTCCCAGGATTCCCTTGCTTACCTTGACCGCAAAGACCTGCCCTTGGCCGCAGTCCAGGACCTTCAGCACCGTCCCAAATGACCCTTTGGCCACAAAACCCAAAATCTGCACGGGAAAAGACAAATATTAGGGTGGTTTATATTGTTTAATATGACGCTGGGCAAAGCGTGGGGCGGGGGGGGGGGTCCTACCTTGAGCTGGCGCTGCCCCACTGGTGGCCGGAGGGGAAATTCGGGGAGGAAAAGGGAGACGCACTGGGGCAGGCCCCGATCTGCTGCCGTTGCCGCCTCCTTCTTTTCCGCCCGGCAACCGAGGGCCTCCGCCTGGACCCCTTGGCCCATTTTGAAAGGGTTCCGGGGGCCCAGAGCTTTTTCCAAGCCCAGAAGGGCCCCCCCCACGTTGGAAAGGAGGGCCTTCCAGCCGCGGACCCAAGAGGCGTCCGGCAAGAGGGTGGGCCCATTGCGGCTCTGGGGAAAAAACAAAACAACACAGAATAACAACAATAACAACAACAATACGAATACACATTGATCAGGACTCTGTGCAGCTTGAGTTCTAAATGCAAGGATATCACATAGGTTGAGTACTGCAGGTTGGACTAGATGACCTTTGGCACTCCCTTCCCTTTGATTATATTAAAAGGCGAAATGTTTTAATATATATGTTTGTAATGGTCTTATGTTGTACTAGAAGAGCGACAGGAAAGAAACACATGTGTTGTTGTTATTATCATTATTATTATTGTTGGACGTAAATAATATTAGGTTCATAATAGTACACTATGGTATTTGGCGTGGATGAGCTCCCTCTATCAGCTCCAGCTCCTCATGCAACAGGGACATGAGAGATGTTAAGACATAACAACATCTGGGCAACGTCCCCTGGGCAACGTCCTTGCAGACGGCCAATTCTCTCACGCCAGAAGCGACTTGCAGTTTCTCAAGTCACTCCTGACACAAAATAAATAAATAAATAAATAAAAATTGACTGCCTTGATTAGCATTGAATGGCCTTGCAGCTTCAAAGCCTGGCTGCTTCCTGCCTGGGCGGTATCCTTTTTTTTGCCCACATCTATGGCAGAAAGAACTGAGTCGCCTGTTTGGGCTGAAAAATGCGGTATAGAAATAAAGCAAATAAATAAACTGCTGGAGGCAAGTGTGAATTTTGCCACTGGCCGCCTTGATTAGCATCAAATGGCCTTGCAGCTGCAAAGCCTGGCTGCTTCCTGCCTGGGGGAATCCTTTGTTGGGAGGTGTTAGCTGGCCCTGATTGTTTCTTCTCTGGAATTCTGGGAATTCCCTTAAGCGAATAAGAGTTCTTTCTCCCACCCTGGACATAATTCCTAGTTTCCAACAGACTTCCCAACTTCTGAGGATGCCTTTACCCCTAGATGCAGGCTAAAGGTCAGGAGAGAATGCTTCTGGAACATGGCAAGGCAGCCTGGAAAACTCACCGCAACCCAGTGATTCCGGCCACGAAACCCTTCGACAATATTATTATTATTATTATTATTATTATTATGAATGCATGTTAATAATATGTTCATGATATGAGGTTAACAATAATACATTATAATATTTGGTGCTGTAATAACAAAATATTAGGTCAATAATAATAATACATAATATTGTGGTAATAAATAAATATTATCGTCAACATTATTATTATTATTATTATTATTATTATTATGAGGTTCAGAATAATATTTGGTGCTGTAATAATTGGCATATTCTTATTATATTATTATAAAATATTATGTCAATAATAATAATACATAATATTGTGGTAATAAATAAATATTATCGTCAACATTATTATTATTATTATTATGAGGTTCAGAATAATATTTGGTGCTGTAATAATTGGCATATTCTTATTATATTATTATAAAATATTATGTCAATAATAATAATACATAATATTGTGGTAATAAATAAATATTATCGTCAACATTATTATTATTATTATTATTATTATTATTATGAGGTTCAGAATAATATTTGGTGCTGTAATAATTGGCATATTCTTATTATATTATTATAAAATATTATGTCAATAATAATAATACATAATATTGTGGTAGTAAATAAATATTATCGTCAACATTATTATTATTATTATTATTATTATGAGGTTCAGAATAATATTTGGTGCTGTAATAATTGGCATATTCTTATTATATTATTATAAAATATTATGTCAATAATAATAATACATAATATTGTGGTAGTAAATAAATATTATCGTCAACATTATTATTATTATTATTATTATTATGAGGTTCAGAATAATATTTGGTGCTGTAATAATTGGCATATTCTTATTATATTATTATAAAATATTATGTCAATAATAATAATACATAATATTGTGGTAATAAATAAATATTATCGTCAACATTATTATTATTATTATTATGAGGTTCAGAATAATATTTGGTGCTGTAATAATTGGCATATTCTTATTATATTATTATAAAATATTATGTCAATAATAATAATACATAATATTGTGGTAATAAATAAATATTATCGTCAACATTATTATTATTATTATTATTATTATTATTATGAGGTTCAGAATAATATTTGGTGCTGTAATAATTGGCATATTCTTATTATATTATTATAAAATATTATGTCAATAATAATAATACATAATATTGTGGTAATAAATAAATATTATCGTCAACATTATTATTATTATTATTATGAGGTTCAGAATAATATTTGGTGCTGTAATAATTGGCATATTCTTATTATATTATTATAAAATATTATGTCAATAATAATAATACATAATATTGTGGTAATAAATAAATATTATCGTCAACATTATTATTATTATTATTATGAGGTTCAGAATAATATTTGGTGCTGTAATAATTGGCATATTCTTATTATATTATTATAAAATATTATGTCAATAATAATAATACATAATATTGTGGTAATAAATAAATATTATCGTCAACATCATTATTATTATTATTATTATTATTATTATTATGAGGTTCAGAATAATATTTGGTGCTGTAATAATTGGCATATTCTTATTATATTATTATAAAATATTATGTCAATAATAATAATACATAATATTGTGGTAGTAAATAAATATTATCAACCACTCTATTATTATTATTATTATTAATGCATGTTAATAATATATTCATGATATGAGGTTCACAATAATACATTATATTTTGTATTGTAATAACAAAATATTATGGCAATAATAATACATAATATTGTGGTGATAAATAAATATTATCAACAACATTATTATTATTATTATTATTATTATTATTATTAAGTTCACAATAATTTTTGGTACTGTAACAATAAAATATTATGCCAATAATAATAATGCATAATATTGTGGTAATAAATAAATATTATCGACACTATTATTATTATTATTATTATTATTATTATTATTATTATGAATGCATGTTAATAATATGTTCATGATATGAGCTTAACAATAATATATTATAATATTTGGTGCTGTAATAACACCCTTCCCATGGACATTAGATCAGCCCCCTCGTTAATGGTGTTTCGAAGAAAACTGAAAACCTGGCTATTTGAACAGGCGTTCGGATAAACAGTGCAATGAATATAATGAATATAGGAAAACGGAATTACGGATGACGAGTTGGATCACGATTCTAGTTATGAGATGTTAATGTGTTGTTTATTGATGTGTAATTACTTAGTATACTACGGTGTTAATTGTTTTTAAATAGTGTATGTTGTTAGGATTGAGTTTTTGCTCTTGTTGTTAACCACGTTGAGTCGCCTACGGGCTGAGAAACTGCGGTATACAAGCAAAGTAAATAAATAAATAAAATAAATATTATGAATGCATGTTCATGATATGAAGTTCACAATAATACATTATAATATTAGGTCAATAATCATGCATAATATTGTGGTAATAAATATTATAGACACTATTATTATTATTATTATGAATAATAATAATCATGATATGAGGTTCACAATAATACATTATAATATTTGGTAATATAATATTTGGTGCTATTATTATGTCAATAATACATAATATTGCGGTAGTAAATAATTATTATTGACACTTATTATTATTATTATTATTATTATGAATGCATGTTAATAATATGTTCATGATATGAGCTTAACAATAATACATTGTAATATTGTGGTAGTAAATAAATATTATCAATAACACTATTATTATTATTATTATTATGAATGCATGTTAATAATATGTTCATAATATGAGCTTAACAATAATACATTGTAATATTGTGGTAGTAAATAAATATTATCAATAACACTATTATTATTATTATTATTATTATTATTATTATTATTATGAATGCATGTTAATAATATGTTCATGATATGAGCTTAACAATAATACATTGTAATATTGTGGTAGTAAATAAATATTATCAATAACACTATTATTATTATTATTATTATTATTATGAATGCATGTTAATAATATGTTCATGATATGAGGTTAACAGTAATACATTGTAATATTGTGGTAGTAAATAAATATTATCAATAACACTATTATTATTATTATTATGAATGCATGTTAATAATATGTTCATAATATGAGCTTAACAATAATACATTGTAATATTGCGGTAGTAAATAAATATTATCGATAACACTATTATTATTATTATTATTATTATTATTATTATTATTATGAATGCATGTTAATAATATGTTCATAATATGAGCTTAACAATAATACATTGTAATATTGTGGTAGTAAATAAATATTATCAATAACACTATTATTATTATTATTATTATTATGAATGCATGTTAATAATATGTTCATGATATGAGCTTAACAATAATACATTGTAATATTGTGGTAGTAAATAAATATTATCAATAACACTATTATTATTATTATTATTATTATTATGAATGCATGTTAATAATATGTTCATAATATGAGCTTAACAATAATACATTGTAATATTGCGGTAGTAAATAAATATTATCGATAACACTATTATTATTATTATTATTATTATTATTATTATTATGAATGAATGTTAATAATATGTTCATAATATGAGCTTAACAATAATACATTGTAATATTGTGGTAGTAAATGAATTTTATCAACAACACTATTATTATTATTATTATTATTATTATTATTATTATTATTATGAATGCATGTTAATAATATGTTCATAATAGGAGCTTAACAATAATACATTGTAATATTGTGGTAATAAATAAATATTATCAATAACACTATTATTATTATTATTATTATTATGAATGCATGTTAATAATATGTTCATGATATGAGCTTAACAATAATACATTGTAATATTGTGGTAGTAAATAAATATTATCAATAACACTATTATTATTATTATTATTATTATTATTATTATTATTATTATGAATGCATGTTAATAATATGTTCATGATATGAGGTTAACAGTAATACATTGTAATATTGTGGTAGTAAATAAATATTATCAATAACACTATTATTATTATTATTATTATTATGAATGCATGTTAATAATATGTTCATGATATGAGCTTAACAATAATACATTGTAATATTGTGGTAGTAAATAAATATTATCAATAACACTATTATTATTATTATTATTATTATTATTATTATTATTATTATGAATGCATGTTAATAATATGTTCATGATATGAGGTTAACAGTAATACATTGTAATATTGTGGTAGTAAATAAATATTATCAATAACACTATTATTATTATTATTATGAATGCATGTTAATAATATGTTCATAATATGAGCTTAACAATAATACATTGTAATATTGCGGTAGTAAATAAATATTATCGATAACACTATTATTATTATTATTATTATTATTATTATTATTATTATGAATGCATGTTAATAATATGTTCATAATATGAGCTTAACAATATTATTATTATTATTATTATTATTATTATTATGTTCATAACATTTAGAGCTGTAGTAACAAAATATTATTCCAATAATAATAATGCATAATATTGTGTTAATAAATAAATATGTTTAATAACAGGGCAGTATTATCCTAAGAAGACAGGATTGTAAGCATGCCTTAACTTCAGGGCAGAGGAATAAGTTTATTTACATTTATTTATATTTATTTATTTTAAATTAACATTAATATTTTAAATAAATAAATATAAATATAAATCAATAAGGCATCCCAAAGGGGGACTTGCACTCTGTGCATGCTCAGGAACCCGGTCCCGGTATTAATATTTATTTATATTTATTTATTTTAAACTAAAATTAAGATTCTAAATAAATATAAATAAAAATAAATCAATAAGGCCTCCCCAAAAGGGAGGGGGGGGGGGTTTGCACTCTGTGCATGCTCAGGAACCCGGCTCACCTTGAGAATGGCGGGGGCTTCTCCTCCTCTTCCTTTCCTCTCCCTTTCTTCTTCTTCTTCTTCTTCCTCTTCCTCCTCTCCTTCCTCTTCCTCTTCCTCTTCCTCTTCCTCCTGGCCTGGCCTTCCTCCATGGCTGCTGCTGCTGCTGTTGCTGGCCCCCATCCCGGCCGGTTCCTCCTCGGCTACCCTTCCCACGGCCTCTCCATCCTTTAATCCGCCTTACGTAAACACTAATCCGCGTCCGCACCAGACGCCCTGTCGCGCATTAGCTGCGAGGCAGAGGAGCTGCAGCCAATCCAGGGAGGGAGGGAGGGAGGGGCGTCTTATGCAAATGCGAAGGATTCCCCCTCCAATCACAAGCCGCTCTCCAGGACACTCGTTAGCATACAAACCACGCCCCCTACGTCACAACCATCTCTCTCGAGGAGTGTGGTGGAAGCCACGCCCTTTATGTAAAACTGCATTCGAAGCCCCGCCCTTTATGCAAAGCGCCTCATAAGCCTGGAAAGGGACGCCGCTTAAGCAATAGAAAGCCTCCCTCGAAGCCACGCCCCTTTATGTAAAACCGCGTTCGAAGCCCCGCCCTTTATGCAAAGCAGGCCCCTCAAAGCCTGGAAAGGGACGCCGCTTACGCAATGAAAAGCCTCCCTCGAAGCCACGCCCCTTTATGTAAAACCGCTTTCTAAGACACGCCCTTTATGCAAAACAGCCCACTCAAAGCCTGGAAAAGGACGCCGCTCACGCAATGGAAAGCCTGCCTCGAAGCCACGCCCCTTTTTGTAAAACCGCGTTCGAAGCCCCGCCCTTTATGCAAAACAGCCCATTCAAAGCCTGGAAAGGGACGCCGCGTACGCAATGGAAAGCCTGCCTCGAATCCACGCCTCTTTATGTAAAACCGCATTCGAAGCCACGCCCTTTATGCAAAGCGTGGAAAGGGACGCCACTCACGCAATGGAAAGCCTCCCTCGAAGCCACGCCCCTTTATGTAAAACCGCGTTTAAAGACACACCCTTTATGCAAAACAGCCCCCTCATAAGCTTTGAAAGGGACGCCTCGCACTCAATAGAAAGCCTCCCTCGAAGCCACGCCCCTTTATGTAAAACCGCATTCGAAGCCACGCCCTTTATGCAAAGCCTGCAAAGGGACGCCGCTTACGCAATGGAAAGCCTCCCTCGAAGCCACGCCCCTTTATGTAAAACCGCATTCGAAGTCACGCCCTTTATGCAAAGCCTGCAAAGGGACGCCGCTTACGCAATGGAAAGCCTCCCTCGAAGCCACGCCCCTTTATGTAAAACCGCATTCGAAGTCACGCCCTTTATGCAAAGCCTGCAAAGGGACGCCGCTTACGCAATGGAAAGCCTCCCTCGAAGCCACGCCCCTTTATGTAAAACCGCATTCTAAGACACGCCCTTTATGCAAAGCATGGAAGTATGAACCAGGCGTCTTCCAAACCAAACAGCCTTCCTGATGGAAGCCACGCCTTTTATGCAAAACAGCCAGGCTTTTAAATATGGAAATCGTGGAGGGAGGAACGCCCCCTTTCCCCATTTTTCAGCCTGGTACAAATAGCTAAGCATATTTATTTGCACACATTCTTATTATTATTATTATTATTATTATAGTAAATAGTTAAATTATATTAATAAATATTTCAGTATTATTATATTTACTTCATTATTATTATAGCAAATTCAATTAATTAATTAATCATTATTTCGTTATTATAATTTTTCATTATTGTACTTATTTCATTATTATAGAAAATTTTATTAATTAATCATTATTTTATTATTATAATTATTTCGTTATTATTATAGCAAATTTTATTCACTAATAATTTTTCATTATTGTTATTATTTCGTTATTATTATAGCACATTTTATTAATTGATAATTATTTCATTATTATAATTATTCCATTATTCTTATAGCAAATTTTATTAATTAATCATGATTTCATTATTATTATAATTATTTCGGTATTATTATTATTATAGCAAATTCTATTAATTAATAATTCTTTCACTATTGTAATTATTTTATTATTATAGCAAATTTTGTTAATTAATCATGATTTCATTATTATAATTATTTTGTTATTATTTCATTATTCTTATAGCAAATTTTATTAATTAATAATTATTTCATTATTATAATTATTTTGTTATCATAGCAAATTTTACTAATTAATCATAATTTGATTATTATTATAATTATTGTTATTACAGCAAATATAATTAATTAATTAATTAATTATTAATTTATTAATGGCATAAAATTATTCTATTTTAATATTTAATTATTTTTGAAATATATTAATTTTGATTGTGAGCCTTCTAGGATGGGATTTGTAGTCCAAAGCGATTGGGGCCAGTGTAAACTATGTGAATAGTAACCATAGCGGTCTGGGTCATTTTGGGGGTTCCGAAATAATTGTCGCGCTCCTCCGGTGCGACTCGAGGGTCCTCGACGGGAACTGCGGAAAATAAAAACTCCGACGACGTCTCGTTCCAAACGATAAACTCTCTCTTATTTTAAACTCTTTCCTGACAAAACGATGCATAGATTGGCCTCTGCGACCGTCCCCTTTGCCCCCCTTTATTGCCCTCTTCCCTGACCGGGACTTCATGGACGCCCCCAAACTGTGGCCGGACCAAGCGTCTCCGTCCCCGACTCCCGTTTGTACATTTTTGGTCCCTCGTTGCGAGTTCGAATTCTGGCGAGATCCCCCCCCCCCCTTTTGTCCTGTTCCCCGGCCAGCGGGGAGAAGACTCGGGGGGTTTACGGTAGTGATTTTTGGCACTTCTTCTCCTCCTCCCCCCCCCCCCCCATCGTTCATTTGCGCCGGCCGAAAATGGACTTCTTTCCGGGGTTCTTGTCGCCGACGCTCAGGCCGATCAGGAGCCGGGCCTTCTCGTCTTCCTCCTGCTGCTGGACGTGGCCCTCGAGTTTGGTGTCCGGTTTGCCCCGCAGGTCAGTGCCGGACGCCGGCTTGAGCCGCAGCTTCTCTTTGATGACCTGCAAAACGGACGAGAGGTCAAGAACCGACCCTCCCACTGGCTACTTATAAGGGGAGAGTGGGCGGGGCTACCACCAAAAATGTTTCTAAGGCTTTCTAGAAAGTTCCGAAGCTGTCTGCTCAGACGCAGAAACTACCATATGTGCAATTCACAGTTGACCCACTGGCTACTTATATGCTCAAGGGGAGAGTGGGCGGGGCTACCGCCAAAAATGTCTCTAAGACTTTCTAGAAGGTTCTGAAGCTGTCTGCTCAGGTACAGAAATTACCATATGTGCAATTCACAGTTGACCACTATGGGAAACTGTTGAATCGGCTGACCTAAAGGTTGGCAGTTCGAAGCTGCAGGTCCGAGTGAGCTCCCACTGTTAGCCCTAGCTCCTGCCAACCTAGCAGTTCGAAACAAGTAAAATGTGAGTAGATCAATAGGTACTGCTTCAATGGGAAGGCGCCCATGCAGCCATGCTGGCAAGGCAACCAGGACGTGTCTATGGACAACAGACTCCTTGACTTGGAAATGGAGAAAGAGCCCCGCCCCGTGGCCAGAGCTGGGCACCGCCTCCAGAAAGCCGGAAATGGAAGGGGAAGCCTTTACCCTTGTAGTTGTACAGGGTTAGTCAAAATGAATAGGCCAATAAGAAAATTAATTTTAGACGAATGTATGTTTACTGTAACCAAACCACAGCTACGTAGCGACAGATAAACTATCAAAGTTTTTTTTGAGCAACACACATGTACGTTAATGCCGCTAGGCGTCGCTAGGGGTCGCTGTTTTCAAAATGGCAGATTCAAGCAAAGAGAAGGCGTTTTGTGTGATGACATTTGCTAAAACAATGTCAGTAATTACGGTCCAGCGAGAATTTCGAGCCAAGTATGGCAAGGAACCACCTCATCGACATTCCATTGCGAGGTGGGTAAAGCAATTTGAGGAGACGGGCTGCTTATGCAAGGGTAAAACCACAGGACGACCACGTGTCTCCGAAGACACAGCTGCATTCGATGCCATTACGTCGGATGTGCTGCAACGGATGTGGAATGAACTGGACTATCGCTTGGACATCTGCCGTGTCACACGGGGCGCCCATATCGAACATCTCTGAAGGTGAGACAAAACTTTGATAATTTATCTGTCGCTACGTAGCTGTGGTTTGGTTACAGTAAACATACATTCGTCTAAAATTAATTTTCTTATTGGCCTATTCATTTTGACTAACCCTGTATGTTGTGGTTGTTCCACTGCATTAAAGGCATGGAATGTGGTGTGTCTGCCAATTTGGGGTCTTTGTGGTGAACCCGGGCCCTCCCCGGCCTTTGCGCCCACGCTACCTGGGCCACCAAGGCCTTGCGGCTGTCTCGCTTGACCGCCATGGCGAAGTCCAGCCAGGTCCATGTGTTGTTGTGGTATTCGAGGCACGGAAGCACCAGGTTGAGGTCTCCCCAGTCGACGCTGTTCTTCTCTCCCTGTGCACCAGACAATAATAATAACAGCAATGACAATAGGTAACACGCTGGACCACAACAATAACAATAATAGACAACACCATGGACCACAACAACAAAAACAACAACAACAACAGATAACGCTCTCGACCACAACAACAATAGATAACACCCTGGACCACAACAACAACAAAAACAGATTAACACCCTGGACCACCAAAACAACAACAACAATAGATAACACCCTGGACCACCACAACAACAACAACAACAACAACAACAGAAAACACCCTGGACCACAGCAACAATAACAATAACAACAACAACAACAACAACAAGAATAGATAACACCCTGGACCACCACCACCACAATAACAATAGATAACACCCTGGACCACAGCAACAAATAACACCCTGGACCACAACAACAACAAGAATAGAGAACACCCTGGACAACCACCACCACCACCACCACAATAGATAACACCCTGGACCACAGCAACAAGAAGAATAGATAACACTCTGGACCACAACAACAAGAAGAATAGATAACACCCTGGACCACAACAACAAGAATAGATAACACCCTGGACCACCACCACCACAACAATAGATAACACCCTGGACCACAACAGTAGCAACAATAGATAACACCCTGGACCACCACCACAACAACAATAGATAACACCCTGGATCACAACAACAACAACAACATGGACCACAGCAACCACAGCAACAACAAGAACAGATAACACCCTGGACAACAGCAGCAACAACAACAACAACAATAACGGGTAACACCCTGGACCACGACCACTACCACAACAACAATAGATAACACCCTGGACCACAACAACAACAACATGGACCACAGCAACAACAGCAACAACAAAAATAAATAACACCCTGGACAACAGCAACAACAACAACAGATAACACCCTGGACCACCACCACTACAACAACAACGATAGATAACACCCTGGACCACCACAACAACAACAACAGATTAACACCCTTGACCACCACTAAAACAACAACAATAATAGATAACACTCTGGACCACAACAACAACAGATAACACCCTCGACCACCACCACAACAATAATAATCGATAACACCCTGGACCTGCCTTGTCCTTGACCCCAACCCCAAAACAGAGGGAGATTTGGATAATACCAGCCCCCAATCTGGATCTTCTACTGTGTTGCTACTCAGAGATGGAGCCTCTTTGGCCAGGGACAGTCTACCTGCTCATTCAGACTAAGCCACCCCTTCCCCTTCACCTTGTAGCTGACGCAGAGCGGCACTTGCGGGATCTTGATGTAGATGAAGGAGTTGTTCATGGCGGCCCGCTCCTTCATCTTGTCAATGTCGTCCACTGGGTACTGTGGTGGAAAGAGGCGGTCAAAGGCCAGGCGACCTCGAGGGTGCCCTTTTAACCCCCATCCCTTTTATCCTTGCCCCGCCCAAAGACCACCTTGCCAAGTAGGCCAGGCAATGACCCATTCTCTTGGGCGAGTGTCCAGTGAAAACAAGGCCGGGTCAAGAGTCTAGTGGCCATTTTGACCACTAGACCCTCAAAACCTTCGGAAAACATTGCCGTGTTTTCCTCTTCCTTCCTCATCAGTGTTTCTTTGAGTGTCTCCTAATTTTAGACCGTACTTACTTCGGGGGGCTTCCGTAGTGACCGCCGGACACCCGACGTCCGGTTCAGGCCTTGGGACATGCCTTTCCCTGGACCCAGTGAATCATCGGAGACCATCAGTTGCCGCGGCTTGACCACTGGCATCCCTAAGAAGGACAGAGAGGCCCGAGGAAGGTCAGCAGCGGTCCAACCTCTCTGGGAAGCGGGTTCAGGTCTGCGGGCAGCTACAGGATGACCATCCTATCCGAACCTCACCTGTGGTCACTAGCTTGGACTTGTCCTCTTCGTCCCCGACTTCCTCCTCCTCCACATTACGGCCGGGGAAGAAGAAGCCCATCATGCGGTGGAAGAACTGGTGGGTCAGCTGGATGGTGAGGGGCACCACGTTGACCTGGAGAAAAGGGAGAAAGTGACCACCAAACTCCATCGGTTAGTCTCGCACCGCTGTCATAGTAGCATCCGTCCACTTGTCAGAAATATTAAAAAATAACCGGGTATGACAAAAGTGTGAGTCAAGCACTGAAAGGGTTAGTAGGCCGAAGCCTGTTGAGTCAGTGGGCCAAAGCTAATGTCGTCCTGAGGAGTGTGAGGTAAACCTCTGTGTGAGAGAAGCCTAGTGTGAGAAAGCTCCAGTGTGGAGGCTGCTTTGTTTAAAGCTACTATGTATTTGTTTATTTGTGTTATGGAAACCTAGTTGATTACAAAAGTGTGAGTCCAGTACTGAAGGAATTAGTAGGCCGAAGTCTGTTAGAGAAAGTAGCCAAAGCTAATATCGTCCTGAGGAGTGTGAGGTAAACCTCTGTGTGAGAGAAGCCTTATGTGAGAAAGCTCCAGTGTGGAGCTTTCTATACTATGTACTATGTATTTGTCTATTTGTGTTATGGAAACCTAGTTGATTATGAGTCCAGCACTCAAGGAATTAGTAAGCTGAAGTCTGTTAGAGTAAGTGGCCAAAGCTAGTTGTCCTGAGGAGTGTGAGGTAAACCTCTGTGTGAGAGAAGCCTTGTGTGAGAAAGCTCCAGTATGAAGGCTGCTTTGTTTAAAGCTTATGTATTTGTTTATTTGTGTTATGGAAACCTAGTTGATTACAAAAGTGTGAGTCCAGCACTGAAGGAGTTTATTTATTATTATTTATTTACGTCATTTCTATCCCGCCCAGATCAGGCCGAAGGCCGAAGTCTGTTAGAGTCAGTGGGCCAAAGTTAATGTTGTTCTGAGGAGTGTGAGGTAAACCTCTCACACAGAGGTATACCTCACACTCTTCAGGATGACATTAGCTTTGGCCACTGACTCCAACAGACTTTGGCCTACTAATTCCTTCAGTGCTGGACTCATACTTTTGTAATCAACTAGGTTTCCATAACACAAATAAACAAATACACGCAGCAGCCTCCACACTGGGGCTTTCTCACACAAGGCTTCTCTCACACAGAGGTTTACCTCACCCTCTTCAGGACAACATTAGCTTTGGCCACTTACTCTAACAGACTTTGGCCTACTAATTCCTTCAGTGCTGGACTCATACTTTTGTAATCAACTAGGTTTCCATAACACAAATAAACAAACACACGCAGCAGCCTCCACACTGGGGCTTTCTCACACAAGGCTTCTCTCACACAGAGGTTTACCTCACACTCCTCAGGAGAAGCTTCAGTGAAAGAAGCCCCAGGTTAAAAGCCTTGTGTGTAAAGATGTGTGTAAAAAGCTACTGTGTAAAGCTCCAGTATAATTTTGTTGTGAGAGGAGGCCCTGTGAGAGCGAAGCTGTCTATCTGCATCAGAAAGAAGCCCAGCGTGGAAGCAACGAAGGAAGTAGAAAGGACTTTATTTGTGTCTTTTGTTAATAAGCCTACTCGCCCATCAAGGGTTATGGGCCCAGGATAACTCACCTCGAAGTGTTCTTTGATGGAGATGCCGCCCACCGGTGGCCGGACTTTGCTGAAGATCCGCAAGGCCAGTTGGCGGCCGGATTGGCAGGCGCTCTGTGGCCGGAGGACTACCTGCGGGATGGAAGGGATGCTGGCAATTATAATAATAGCTTACAAATGATGCCACCAAAATGAGCTCATATAATCACAGGGATGGAAGAGACCACATTCACCCCGACCAACCCCCTGCAATCCAGGAAGACACAATCTAATCCCTCTAGACAGATGGCCATCCAGCCTCTGCTTAGAAACTTCCAGAGATGGAAGAAGCCTCCACTGGACTCTGAGGAAACGTATTCCACAATCGAAGAAGAATGTTTGGGTGGAATCTCCTGCAACTTGGACCCACTTTTGAGAAAAGGAGGCACTCTGTGCATGCTCAGGAGGGCTCTTGGATGACTCGTTTCGCTTTAATGCCCAACTATTATGGCCAGAAAGCAAAAGGGGAGATGGAAATATGGCCACTGACCTTATAGACGGCATTGGGGAGGAGATTGTTCATGGTGACCCAACCCAATTCGAGAAGATGCTCGGCCGTATCATCCGATTTGTTCACCTATGCCGGAAACAGAGCAATTCAGGCGTCCAGATAATGAGACATTTCTTAATTGCAACCCAAATAATAGCGGGATTAGCTCTGTATGATGGGACAAGGAGTTGCAGTGCCCATCCCCATCATCTCTAGCCTGGTGCCCACCTTGCTATAGAGGAAGCGCTGCAGCTCCAGTTCGGCGATGCCTAGCTGGCCGTCCTCCTCGGTCAGCCGCCACCGGGCCTGGGCGAAGTAGAACTCGGTCCGGCGCACCACGCCGACGTCCTCGGGTTGTTTTCGCAGCTCCATCTTGTTGGCCCGCTGCAACTGGAAGTCCTTGAAGCACCTGAGAAGAAAGGGGGACGGGGAAATGAATGCCTCAGATCCCCAGTGATCGGCTCCCTCGAATAGATCCAAGAAAGAATGAAAACTATGGAAGACTTCATCCAAAGGTCTGCTTTCTCCCTTCTCCAGCACGTTTCCATCTCTATACTGCCCCTTGTGGTTGATCGGAGCACTGCATACAAACATCCCTGTAGGCTTAGCTAATCCTTTCTATCTCTATACTGCCCCCTTGTGGTTGATCGAAGTACTGAACACAAACATCCCTATAGGCTTACCTAATCCTTTCTATATACTGCCCCCTTGTGGTTGATCGGAGTACTGAACACAAACATCCCTATAGGCTTAGCTAATCCTTTCTATCTCTATACTGCCCCCTTGTGATTGATCGGAACACTGAACACAAACATCCTTAAAGGCTTAGCTAATCCTTTCTATTTCTATACTGCCCCCTTGTGGTTGATCGGAGCACTGAACAAAAGCATCCTTATAGGCTTAGCTAATCCTTTCTATCTCTATATGGCCCCCTTGTCGTTGGTTGGAGTACTGCATACAAACACCCCTACAGGCTTAGCTAATCCTTTCTATTTCTATATTGCCTCCTTTTGGTTGTTCGGAGCACTGAACACAAACATCCCTATAGGCTTAGCTAATCCTTTCTATCTCTGTACTGCCCCTTGTGGTTGATTGGAGCACTGAACAAAAGCATCCTTATAGGCTTAGCTAATCCTTTCTATCTCTATACTGCCCCCTTGTCGTTGGTTGGAGCACTGCATACAAACACCCCTACAGGCTTAGCTAATCCTTTCTATTTCTATATTGCCTCCTTTTGGTTGTTCGGAGCACTGAACACAAACATCCCTATAGGCTTAGCTTATCCTTTCTATCTCTATCCTGCCCCCTTGTGGTTGATCGGAGCACTGAACACAAACATTCCTATAGGCTTAGCTAATCCTTTCTATCTCTATACTGCCCCCTTGTGGTTGATCGAAGCACTGCATACAAACATCCCTATAGGCTTAGCTAATCCTTTCTATCTCTATAATGCCCCCTTGTGGTTAATCGGAGCACTGTATACAAACATACCTATAGGCTTAGCTAATCCTTTCTATACTGCCCCCTTTTGGTTGATCGGCGCACTGAACACAAACTTCCCTATAGGCTTAGCTAATCCTTTCTATCTCTATACTGCCCCCTTGTGATTGATCGGAGCACTGCATACAAACATCCCTATAGGCTTAGCTAATCCTTTCTATCTCTATACTCCCCCTTGTGGTTGATCGGAGCACTGCATACAAACATCCCTATAAGCTTAGCTAATCCTTTCTATCTCTATACTGCCCCCTTGTGGTTGATTCTGGTTGATACTGCATACAAACCTCCCTATAGGTTTAGCTAATCCTTTCTATTTCTATACTGCCCCCTTGTGGTTGGTCGGAGCACTGCATATAAACATATTGATAGACTTAGCTAATCCTTTCTATCACTATACCGCCCTGCATACAAACATACTTATAAGCTTAGCTAATCCTTTCTATTTCTATACTGCCCCCTTCTGGTTGATCGGAGCACTGAACACAAACATACCTATAGGCTTAGCTAATCCTTTCTATCTCTATACTGCCCCCTTGTGGTTGATCAGAGCACTGAACACAAACATCCCTGTAGGCTTAGCTAATCCTTTCTACCTGATAAGGATGTTCAATTCCTCGCTTTCCTGCTGCAGTTCGGACTTCTCCCGGCTCAGCTGTTGCTGCAGCCTCTGGTTGTGGTCAAGCAAGGCTTCGTTCCGGCCGTCGTCCTGCAGGGACTGGGGAGAGGAAGCGGTCAAGGCGTGGGGAAAGGGGGAAACGCTATCCGAAAGGGTAGAAAAGGTGAGGATGAGACCCCGTCGTTCCCAAAGGCCGTGCTCACCTTCAGGACGGAGTACATCTGCTTCTCCAGGAGCCGGATCTGGGCCACGTGTTGCCGGACGGCCTCCTGGAGGTGGAGGATGCTGCTGCGCTGCTCCTCGGGGTTGCTGGAGATCTCCAACTGGAAGCGGACGCGCTGCTTCTTCTCGCTGTGCTCCTGAAAGGAGAAAAGCAAAGGTCACCGGAGGACAACATTAGGAAAAGCTTCCTGATGGTCTGAGCTGGGACACGCTGCCTGGGAGTCTGGGGGTAAAGAGCTTCACTCTCACAGAGACTCTTCTCACATTGAACTTCACACAGTAGCTTTTTACACACAGCAGCCTACACACTGGAGCTTCACCCATGGGTTTTACACACAAGACCTTCAACTTGGGGTTTCCTCTCGCCGAAACTTCTCACACCAGGCCTTCTCATACTGAGGCCTTCTAACACTGAGGCCCTTCTCTCACAGAGGCCCCCCTCACACTGAGGCCCTTCTCTCACTCAGGCCTCCCTCACACTGAGGCCCTTCTCTCACTCAGGCCTCCCTCACACTGAGGCCCTTCTCTCACTCAGGCCTCCCTCACACTGAGGCCCTTCTCTCACTGAGGCCTCCCTCACACTGAGGCCCTTCTCTCACTGAGGCCTCCCTCACACTGAGGCCCTTCTCTCACTCAGGCCTCCCTCACACTGAGGCCCTTCTCTCACTCAGGCCTCCCTCACACTGAGGCCCTTCTCTCACTCAGGCCTCCCTCACACTGAGGCCCTTCTCTCACTCAGGCCTCCCTCACACTGAGGCCCTTCTCTCACTCAGGCCTCCCTCACACTGAGGCCCTTCTCTCACTGAGGCCTCCCTCACACTGAGGCCCTTCTCTCACTGAGGCCTCCCTCACACTGAGGACCTTCTCTCACTGAGGGCTCCCTCACACTGAGGCCCTTCTCACACTGAGGGCTCTCTCAGACTTTCACCTTGCGCTTGGGCTCGACGTGGAGGAGGAGGTTGTTGACGATGTCCAGGATCATGGCGTACTGCGCCGGATTGGTGGAGATCTCCAGGTCATGGTGGATGAGAGTGAAAGTGTCCACGGCCCCTGGACAATGAAAATATGTGGGATTCTGGGAGTTACGATCCCCCCAAAAAAACACAACTCGTGTAGGGAAGGTCACCCTGAGATAACTTGGGAGAGGGACTAAAGCAAGAAGAGCTTTCCATCCCAGCAATGGATGCAACCCGTCGAGTCCCGTTTGTTACCTTCCCGTTTCTTGAGGAGGTCGTCCTTCTCCGGGTGGAGGGGCACCTCGGGCGGCTTGATCTGCGAGGCCAGCTCTGGGTTGATGTCGTGGCTGTAGCTGATGTAGTACATGCGGCAGTTGCAGCGGGAGATGATGCGCTGGACCTGCTGCGTGGGCTGGACCTCGTGGGGCTGGTTCCAGTCTGGGAAGGGTAGATATGGGGCAACAAACAGGATCAGGACTGGGACCATCGGAGCACTGGAGAGCCAAGAGGGAGGACAATCCAGGAGGGCCACCCAGTACTTCAATCGAAAGTGTGGACCTCCATTTGGCTGGTGAAAGAGTCAAGTTTATTATGATTGTTGTTATGTGCCTTCAAGCCGTTTCAGACTTAGGGCGACTTTCTCCCACTGAGGCAAACTAACACTGAGGCCTTCTCAAACCGAGGCAAACTAACACTGAGGCCTTCTCAAACTGAGGCAAACTAGCACTGAAGCCTTCTCAAACTGTGATGAACTAAAACTGAGGCCTTCTCAAACAGAGGCGAACTAAGACTGAGGCCTTCTCAAACTGTGGCGAGCTAACACTGAGGCCTTCTCAAACTGTGATGAACTAACACTGAGGCCTTCTCAAACTGAGGCGAACTAATACTGAGGCCTTCTCAAACTGAGGCGAACTAACACTGAGGCCTTCTCAAACTGAGGCAAACTAACACTGAGGCCTTCTCAAACTGAGGCGAACACTGAGGCCTTCTCAAATTGAGGCAAACTAACACTCAGGCCTTCTCAAATTGAGGCAAACTAACACTGAGGCCTTCTCAAACTTTAGGACCTGGGCCAGATAAATGCTCTTGGAGGGCCACACCTGGCCCACAGGCTGTCATTTGAGGACTCCTGAAATAGGTGCTTGACTCCATGACCCCGGCACCCTGGCTTCTCAACTCTGCCCGCTGACCTGTGGTGGTGCTGACCATCCCGCCCACCGCTTGACCGCTCTCCATCAGCTCTTGCACTGAGTCCAGGCTCCGCTGCCGGTGCTCCTCAATATTCTTCACCTACAGAGAAAGGAGAGGGAAAAGCAGAGTTTAAAGAGCAACTGAGGATGTTCTGAGGGGTCAGCACCCACGTCTCCGACCCATGCCGACCTCTAGCCAGAGCTGGATGTCCTCGTGCTCAGAAGGCCCGCTCTCGGTGGTGGCGAAATACTGCATGCCGTCCAGGAGGCAGGTCCAGGAGGTCTTCTGCTTGAGCGTGTCCCCGTACCAGGCCGGGTGGTGCTGGCACTGGAGTAGCTGGGCCTTGGCCGCCGAGACAATCACGCAGCCCTCCGTCTCTGCCCCACGGAGCACCATCTGCGGGAAAGGAGGGCTCCGATCCATGAACAATCCAATCGTATATGCTGACTTAACGGTGGCCAAGCTGGGTGTAAATAGTGAGGCTAGCGGAGCTCACCTGGCAGTTGACCAGTTCGATAAGGCAGTTCCGGTTGAAAATGTCATCCGTCTGGCAGGCGGCAATCCCGCAGAGCTGTTCGCTGACGCCGGACTCCTCTTCCGTGAAGACCACAAACTTGTCGGTCTCCTCTATGAGCTTCTGCAGCATGTGGGCTCCTGGAAGAGGTGGATATTGGGGGCAGAGTTCGTTAGATAGAGATGGCACAGCATTTCTAATCACGGAGAATATACTGTTTGATGGACATGTGTTTGATTGATAGCACCTGGGTAATGACTCAATGTCATGACGCAATACCGAAGGGAATGTGGTAATGGCGGAGTCATAACCACGTGAGGGTTACTGCAAAGGGATTGCATCAGCCAGTGTCCTCTGCTGATGGCCTATCAGTAGGTGGCTCTCTAAGGGATGAAAGAATCCATTTCGCTCTCTCCTCCGTGACTCAGTGTGAGTATCTGCCGATGTTGTATGCGACTATCTGATGGCTCACGTTGTTTCCATTCAAGGATAAAGAAAGTGGACCTGCGAATCGGGTTTGTACATTTTATATATTGCAATGGTGAAGATTAAAGCCTATGGATATTTTGGATATGTGCATTTACAAAAGTGTGTCGATAAGGTCAGATGCTGGCAGTTGGACTCTGCTGATAGATCAAAGCACATGTTCTGCTACATTTCTGCTTGCTTCTGGGACACTTGCTATCCAGTTTGCAGCTGTTCAGGGAGGTTGTGATTTGGAAACTATAAATCACTTCACTACCAGCATCCTCGAGAGTTGAGAGCATGCAAGGTGGGATGCCATACTTGAGGCTCCCCAATGGACGTCAGATGCTCCCTGCTCACCTCCGGAAGGTCTCCGCTCGGTCTGGCTGTTGTCTGCGGGCAGGATGACCCTCAGCGGCGTCGGCAATTGGGCACCAGAGCCACCCCTCTTGACCTTCTTGGCTGGCCCTTGCGGGTCAATCTTCAGCCCCTTCAGGGCCTCGGTGGAGAGGTTGCGCTTGAGGACGGCCGCCTTCTTGTAACTGTCATAGAGGCCGAAGGCGATGTCCCGGTTGGTGGTAGTCCAGGAGGCCCGCAGGTCCACCAACTGGAGTTGGTGCGTGTGGTAGCCGTCTTCCCCCTCACGGATGGAGAGCTCCTGGTCAAGAGAAAGGGGGAAAAGGGAGGGGCCCAAGGCTGTTAGGAATTGTGGGAGTTGGAGTCCAAAACACCTGGAAGGCCCAAGTTTGCCCATGCCTGCTCTGTATAATCCAACACGCTGTTATCCCTATCCTCAAGATGGGAGACCTTTCCTTTCAAACTATGAAACACTCCTAGGTTGGAAACAAAACATCATCCCGCCCTTTACCCCTGGGGTCCCTCAAAGCCCACCTCCTCGGCCGTGCGGAGGCTGTGTCTTTGGTAAGTGAGCGAGGACAGGCTGAGCAGGTGCGTCTTCTTGACCAGGGAGTCCAAGCGGTGGTCAGCGTTCTCATCGCAGGTGGAGGCCATGAGGTGGACGGTCACCAGGCCCAGGTCGCTCACCATCTGGGTGATGCTCCACTCTGAGATCAGGCGCCGCATGACCGTCCCGGCTGTGGACAAAGAGAGAGTGAGGTCACTCCTAGGTTGGTTGACTCCTCCTCAAAAAGCATCCCTGGGGGTGTCCTTAGGGTCATGCCAACCGCCCAGACCTTGGGGTATGAGCCGCTGTGTGCCGCGGGTGAAGATGTGCCCCTGGCCGCACTCCAGCTGGATGCCGCGCTGCTGAGCAAACGAGGCCCAATAGTGGACCTGAGAGATCGAAATAAATACGAGAGATGTTGACGTCACTGGGAGGGGATAATGGGACATATTATCTTTCCCGTCACCGTTTGTAGGAGCCGACCTGGAGTTTGGGGAAGAGGGCGGTGAAGGAGAGCTGCCGGTAATGCTGCCCCAGCTTCTTCTTGACCGGCTTGAGGTTGCTGAAGAGCTTGCCGCGGCAGATGGGCCTCGTGACGCTGGTCCAGGTGGCCCAGAAGTTCTGCATCCAGCGCAAGGTGCTGCTGTAGAGGAGGATGCGGGGCTGTGAGGGATCTGCAGAGAGAAGGGAGAGGTGTTGGGAGGGTCTGGAGCTGGAAGTGGATGGCCGGCAACAAGCCAATTACCATCCCTGAACCGTCCAAACAAGATGGCAAAAGGTTCATTATTAGTCCAGAAACGCTAGTCAAAGATGAAGAAAAATGAGAGAAAGATTCTTAGCTGCTGCCAAAGCGGTGGATGGAAGGAACTGAGGCAGTAGACCCTCCCACTGGCTATATACTCTATGGGGAGAGTGGGCGGGGCTACCGCCTAAAAGTGTCTAATCAGTTTTCTAGAAGATTCCAAACTGCCTGCGCAGGCGCAGGAAATACCATATGTGCGATTCACGGAGATGGGGAACAGTGTCCAAACCAAACGTCAATAAGCTGATAGCGGAGAAGCATGTAAACCTTCCTTTAGAGTCTAAGCTGACAGTAGGCCTGAAGGCCACTTTAGGTCAGAAACAAGGCTAGAATTGGGGTGGAAGATCCTTAGGACCCCAGATACAACCAGGTAACAAAAAGCTATGGACCACTGCTGGAGAGCCGTCCCAACTGTCCCTTTAGGCTGAAGGTAGAGCTAAGGTCACCTGAGGTTGGAAATGACAGCTCTTGAAGTAGGATGGAAGCAAGATGAGGGGACTCCAGGATTTGGGAGATGTTTCCACAGCACCGATCCAACCCTTCATGAGACTTACCCCCGGTGGGCCGCGTCAGGTCCATGCGGATGGCCAGGTTGAGGTTCTCCGAGCGGAAGGCCCGGTAGGAGTCGTACTGCTGGCCGACGGGGACCTCGGGGAGGAAGTCCGGTGAGCGGAGGACCACGCTGTGGTGGTCACTGGGGTTGCCGTGGCAGAGCCAGGTGAGGTCCAGTGTCATGCAGAGCTGGGGCAGGTGGAGAAAGCAGCAGTCGTCGTACCTGCCAGGAAACAGATGATCACGTGGAAGAATTCATTAAACGATCAGAGAGAAATATGGGTTGCTTACCTGTAACGGTAGTTCCCCAAGTGGTCACCTGTGAATTCGCAGCTGTCTGCTCAGGCACAGAAACTACCATATGTGCGATTCACAGGGACCACGACAAGGAACCAACTCTCTCAAAATCCACCAGCCAAGAGGGCCACTCACTTGGACGCCGTCCGGACGTTGACATCCAGATCCCCCTTGAAGACAAACTGCCCAGGCTTCCAATGGAAGGAGAGGTGGCTCCACTCCCAGTGCATGTTCTCCGTGGTGTTGTAGGGGTCCTGTGAGAGTCAGAAAAGACCAGAGTCATGCAAGAGGCCCAAAAGGTCATCATATTTAATCGCCCGCCCACCTGGCTCCAGCCACCTCACCTCTGTGGCCACTTGGTGCAGGCTGGCCTGCTCAATGTCCATGTGCCAGTCGCCGTGGAGGAGCAATCGGCTCTTGTCCCACCAGGGCAGGGGCGGGCTGGGGTCCTCGGAGGGCTTGGTCAGCAGGTCGATGGCCTGGCCCACCAGAGTCCAGGCTGGGTCCCAGCAGGGACCCCACACAATGGTGTACTGGTAGACATCAGCTGCTCCAAAAAATAGCACACAAATCAATATATATCAGGCATGGGCAAACTTGAGCCCTTCAGATGTTTTGGACCTCAACTTCGCTCGGAATTGTGGAAGTTGAGGTCCAAAACATCTGAAGGGCTCAAGTTTGCCCATGCCTGATATATAGGGCCACTGTGAATAGGATCAGACTAGATGGCCATTGGGGGTCCCTCCAAACCCGGTGAATGTCCCAACACTATGTTATGATACCCTTCTCCAACCAAAAGGGACACAGAACGGGGACGAACACTCACAGTGGAAGTCATGGTAGAACTTTAACGGCGGCATGTTCCTCTCCACCGATACATCACCCCAAGGTGCCCCGAGTTTCAGGATTTGCCGCCGGCGGGAACAAGGTTGGCCTCGCTGTTCGGCCCCAGCGAGGCGCCCTGAAAGACGCCAGTCCCGGATTTCAAACAGGTACCGGGGATAGTCCCGGATCCGTACTGTGCGTTAAAAAGAAAGGGAAGAAGAAACAGGTGTCAGTCAGGTGAATGTCAATGTTATCTATGATCATTATCATTCCAGACAGCCTTCAAAAGGTGTTTTTGTTTGTTTGTGTTCATTTACTCAGTATTATTTTCATATACATAGTACTATTTTCATATGGAATTTTACCTATATTGTGATATGTGAGGTCCAATCAATGAGTACCATTGGTTCTAAAGACCAATGGTACTCATTGATTGGACCTCACATATCACAATATAGGTGAAATTCCATATGAAAATAGTATTATCAGTTAAGAGACAATTTGGTCTCAACCGATCTGAAAGATGCCTATTTCCACATATCGATGGCTTAGGAATTCAGAAAGTTGTCAGGTTTTCACTACTTCTCCTTCCAGGAAAATCAAAATACAAAGAACACTGTCTCAGAAAAGAATATATCTTAGAAGATACAGATTGGACTTAATATATCCTCCTCCTCCTCATCATCATATTAATAAAATTTGAAGGGGTTGACTCACCAAAGAAGGTCTGGACACTGCCCTTGACCATGCGGCACCAGTGAGTGATGAGGTCCAGCCCCTCGGACGGGAAGGGACTGGCGGCATCCAGCTCCCGGATCTGCTCCAGGACCTTTTCGGGGCCGTGAAAGTTCTCGCTGGCCAGGGCGGTGAGCTCGAGTCCAGCCATGGTCCAGGTGAGGAGGGCCTTGCGCATCGGGGTGTTGCTATAGAGGCGGTGTGAGCGCTGGATGTAGATCTCGATGTTCTTCTTCTCGAGGGAGGCATAGAGCTCCTCGATCTTGCGGGCCGGGAGGAGCTCGCCGTGCTGCTTCCGGAGGGCGGCCACCTTGGCATCCAGGAGCTGCAGCCGCTTGGTGCTCTCCTTGCTCTCGTCCTTCATTAGCTCATAGTTGTCCCGCAGCTTGACCTCAAAGACATCGTCTAGGAAAACCCAAGAGAAGTGCTGGACTTTGAGGAGGAGGTCTGGTGGGAGCGGAGCGGGCAGAGCAGGGTCCACGCTGACACTGATGCTGCCACCGCCATGGAGACCTTTCAACCACTTCTGTACACCCAAGGCCTCATCCAAAGTGGCCGAAAAGTCGTACTGATAGGGGAACTCAACCGTGACGCTGGCGCAAGAGAGGGCCCAGACGCGGTTACGCAAAGTTCCCAGCAAGGGGAAGGGACCTCGATGGAGGATCATTTCCTCCAGTTCAGGCACAGCTTGGAATTCCATCTCCTTGAAGACGAAGATGCTGTTACCGTCGAAACCAGCCGCCAAACCCGGGCAGTAGGCATGGAGGGAGGGTCCATGACGGCTGATCACCACTCGCTCGGCCGCCAAGCTCAAGTAGTTGCTCTCTGAGACGAACGCTGTGGCCTTGAGGGCACCCAGTTCGAGGGTCAGGCCAAGCAGTCTCCGAGGAGGGGGCGCAGCCTCGTCAGGGAGGGGTGAACCTTCGGGTCCCTCGGGAGGCGGGGAGGGGAGCGGCGGCCGCAGGGATGCAATGCTGACCAGGGATTCGTAGCACTGTTTAGTGGCCAAAAGGTGCTGGAAGAGGTACATATGAGTGGTGGGAGTCCAGAGGACACTCAGGCTTTCTCCGCACTGCACCTGGAGGGTAATTAGACATTAGAAAGGTAATTAGACATGGATAAGCTTTTCCCCTCGCCACCATAAGGTCCCCATCCTGTGTTTCCTGATCCACGCATTTCCAACCAGTTTTGTGTGGTCTTTATTCCTGGTCTGTTTGGCTTCATGAAGAGAGAGATAGAGCAAGAGAGGGAGGGAAAGAGACTGGAATGAGGACAAAATGGAGAAGGAAAGGGTGGCTCTGCCTCTTGACTCTAGTCTTCCTTGCCACAACATTGTGCTTCTACCATTTTAAAGCGGAACGGATTAAACTCTTAAGTCAAGGCATCACTGTACCTCCAAGGAGCGGATGCTGCTGCGGTAGGTGAGCGACAAGGTGGAGAGTTCAGCCGCGGGGGCCGGGATGGCGGGGGCCTTGCAGCAGGGCTGCATCTTCTCCGTGACGCTGGGCACCAGGGCCAAGGCCAGGCCCTGGACGCTGACGGTGGAACTCTCCGCGCTGCCCAGCATGGTCAGGGTGTCCACCCGCACCTCCATCGCCCCTGCACGAAGGAGGGAAGCTGTGTTGGTTCTCAATCTCCTTAGCAGGTTGAAACAGGACCATTTGTATTCCAAATACATTCAGGGAGGCAATGAAGGAAACAGGCAGCCCTCGAGTTACAAACATTCAACTTACAAACTGTTAGGGAAAACTACCCTAAAATATAGCAGAGCATCCAAAAACATAAACAGGATACAAATATTGCGCATCAGCTCCTTAGCGAGCAGAGCGTGAAGGTGCCGTTTGATGTCGTTATACAGAATTCATAGCTTAGGAGGCAAACATCACCAAAAAAAATCACAATAGATTTATTTACAATGATAAATAACTGCATTTCTTAATCATCAACACCTTTCTCTTCTAAGATTTTGAACAGAGGGAAAAACTCAATCTCTGCATCTCTCCTGAGACACAAGCAGAGAGAGATCTCAAAGCACACAGCACATGCTCTCCAGACTCAAGTGTAAGAAGGCAGGCGTCAGATTCAAAAAGGCTTGCAGTAGACTGTGGCACAGATGGCTGGGGGTCAGTTACATTAAGATCACTACTGACCAAAAGGTCATGGGTTCGAAGCCAGCCCGGGTCGGAGTGAGCTTCCAACCAATTTGTGTAGCTTTCTGTTGACCTTTGCAGCCCGAAAGTTAGTTGCATCCGTCAAGTAGGAAATTTAGGTACCGCTTTACGACACCATAAAAATCTCCAGCAAGCATGCAAAGAACGAGGAAGTACTTCATCCGTGTCACAAATGGACGGTGAAGCGAGAGCTCCCCTGGTGGCCAGAATACTCTCATGAAAAAGCTGGAATGTTAAATAGCCTCTGTGTGTCTGTCTATATATGTTGTGTGTCTAAATGGCATTGAATGTTTGCCCTGTATATGCACATTGTGATCCACCCTGAGTCCCCTGTGGAGTGAGGAGGGGGGAATATAAATACTGTCAATAAATAAATAAATACATAAAGGCATCAATTCTAAACAACCAATCAGAATTAGAGTAGAGAGAGGAGAAAGCAAAAAGATATACAGTGTTCCCTCACTTATCGCGGCTGTTACGTTACAAGACCACACGTGATAAGTGAAAATTCGCAAAGTAGGGACGCTATATACAGAAGAGCTGCTTCCACCTTTGTGACCATCCCTCCCTCGCTCACTCACCCACCTGTCCTCCCTCACTCGCCCGTGATCCACTGGGCCAAGTCCTGGTTCTGCCACCGGGACCCGGCCTGGTGAGTAGTGAGCAAATGAGGGAGGACGGGTGGGTGAGCGAGCAAGGGAGGGAGGCCCGCAAAGGTGGAAGCAGGAGCCTGGAAGAGGTGGCCAAGCTCCTGATTTTGCCGCTTCCGCTGCCCTTGCTCACTCACTCACCCACCCTCCCTCGCTTGCTCACTCACCAGGCCGGGTCCTGGAAAACCGCGAAACAGCGAGTCTGCGAAAAGTGAACCGCGAAGTAGCAAGGGAACACTATATTCCCAACTCTCATACAGGAGACATGGGGGAAGGAAACCCTTAATCTATTTTAAGCTTACTAAACTGTTCCTCATTGAGGACTTGAGACGAGCAGTGTGGTACTGAATTCCAACACAAACAACTCATAGGAATTGTGAGAGTTGAAGCCCCAAAGTTTGCCCCTGGCCTGCGTGAGAGGGCCTACAGATTCCTAGGGAGGCCATATTAATTAAACAGACGAAGCCTGCTAATATGAAGGGGTGGCTCCACCCCCCTCCTCCTCACTCACCTGCAAGGCTGGACAAGGTGAAGAGGTTGACGTCCTCCACCTTCAGGTCCACCTTCCAAAGGACGGCGAGATCGTCACCCACCGGGGAAACGGGGACCTCCTCAGCCTCACCCTCGTCCTCGTTCGGACTCTCCGGACCCTCCGCTGGACGTAAGAGCAGCAAGACCCGCGAAAGGCACTCTGCGCACGTGTCCGAGGACTCCACCTGCACGCCGCGGAGGGCGCAGTCCAGGAAGAGGGTGTCGGCGTGGGCACTGGAGGTGCCCAGCGGCTGGTTGTAACTGCCCTGCGGAGAAAGGGCGAGGGGTCAAGAGGGGAGGGCTCTCCAGACGATGCGGCCTAACCCTCCCACTTGGTCTTCCCCGTATTCACTTGCAGGTTGAAGCTGTCCAGGATGAGGGCCTCCCCCCAGACGTGGGTGTTGGGCGGGTGCGGGGCCCGCTGGATGTGCGAGTCGGCTCCCACCCGCCAGCAGAGGTGATCCACGGCCAGCACGGCCCGCTGGTGGACGCTCTGGGGACGGAGGTGCTGGTAATCTGGGCGAGGGAAAGAGCAAAGGAGGGTTACAAAAGGGCACGATGCGCAAGGGCTATTTGTGGCCTTTGGGCCGACCCTTGTCCATCCCAAGTATAGCGGACTCAGAGTAGACCCTTATGAGACCATGGCCAGATGAACACTCCCAACACTTCTCGGCCTTGTATATTCCATTGGTCATATATTAAATATTAATCTGTAGCAAATGTTACCCTATATCAGTAGTTCTCAACCTTCCTGATGCCGCGACCCCTTAATACAAGTTCTTCCTGTTGTGGTGACCCCCAACCATAACATTATTTTCGTTGCCACTTCATAACTGTCATTTTGCTCCTGTTATGAATTGTAATGTATATATCTGATATGCAGGGTGGATTTCCATTCACTGGATCAAATTTGGCACAAATACAAAATACACCCAAATTTGCATACTGGTGGGGTTGGGGGGAATGATTTAGGTAGTCCGCAGTCAGGTACGAAAGAAGGCAGTCCAATAAAAGCTAGTCAGGAACGAAGGTTCAAGAGCTGCTGCTAAAGCGGCGGATGAAGAGAACTGGAGGCAGTAGCCCCTCCCACTGGCTATATATAATAAGGGGAGAGTGGGCGGGGCTAACCGCCAGAAATGTTTGGTAAGATCTCTAGAAGATTCCAAAGCTGTCTGCGCAGGCGCAGAAATTACCATATGTGCGATTCACAGGGACCACAATGGGAAAATACTGGGCATTGACCTTGAGTTTTGGAGTTGTAGTTCACCTACATCCAGGTAGAGCACTGTGGACTCAAACAATGATGGATGTGGACCAAACTTGGCACAAATACTCCATAGGCCCAAATATGAACATAGAGGGAGTTTTGGGGAATAGACTTTGACATTTGGGAATTATAGTTGCTGGGATTTATAGTTCACCTACAATCAAAGAATATTCTGAACTCCACCAACAACAGAATTGAACCAAACTTGGCACACAGAACTACCATGACCAACAAAAAATACTGGAAGGATTTGGTGGGTATTGGTCTTGAGCTTGGGAGTTATTATTATTTATTTATTTCACTTACTTCTACCCCGCCCTTCTCACCCCCGAGGGGGGACTCAGGGCGGCTTACAAACGAAGGCACAATTCGATGCCTATATCAAATTATACAAACATACAAAAAACAGTTTAGTTGTAGTTCACCTACATCCAGTGGACTCAAACAATGATGCATCTGGACCAAACTTGGCATGAATACTCCATATGCCCAATTGTGAACACTGGTGAAGTTTGGGGGAAACAGACCTTGACATTTTGGAGATGTAGTTGTTGGGATTTATAGTTCACCTACAATCAAAGAGCATTCTGAACCCCACCAAAGAGAGGGAATTGTGGCATTTTTAGTCCAAAACACCTGAAGGGCTGAAGTTTGCTCATGCCTGTTCTGGAACAATCTTTCCTCCGGCCAAGGGGCTCACTTACCGAGCGTTACGGAGTTGAAGCCCAGGGCAAAGGGTGGCGTGTTGCCCAGCTGCACCGAGACGCTGACGTTGGAAACTGAGGCACTGAGGATGATGGTCGCCAAGATTTGGGGCATCCTGGAAACAGAGATTTTATGTATGGGGAGAAAACGGAGAGTGGGTGAGGAAAGGACGGAATCATTTGGGAAGTAAACAAAACGAACGAGGAAATGACAAAAACTTACCTGCTGTCCCTGTCTTTGGTGGCAACAGTGGTGGACGGCGGGTGTTCGGCCGCCCGTCTCGCTGCGGCCAGGACGCTCAGCCAGTGGGCAAACTCCTGGTGTCGGTAGTGGACGATGCAGGTGTTGAGCATCACCGCCACGGAGACGTCGATGGCCATGACCTGATGGGGCGAGAGGCAATTGAACCCGTGGTCGAAGTGGGGAAGGGAGAAGGGTAGGGGAAGTGACCTTGCGCTTGACCGCTCACCTGGAGGCTGGCCTTGAGCAGGTTGAGGCACACGATCCGTTGGCGGCTTTGGGAGAGGAGCAGACCGTCTAGGAGAAGTCCCGGAAGTTATTGACACCCAGGGCCCCGATCTCTCTCGCCCCACAATTCATAAATTCCAGCTCTTTGGGGCCCCAATTCTGGACCTCCCAAGGGATTGGCTCAGTTGTTGATATATGGATATAATGTGGGGGAATGGAGCGAAGCTGCTGTTAGCCATGGTCAATTGTAATCCATGGTTCATATACAGCCCACTGTCCATCATGGTCCGTGGGTCATAGATGAGCCACAAATTGGGTCCATTATGAGCCACAGGTCATCTACAGCCCACAATCAGTTGTAGTCCATGGGTCGCCATCAATTATAGTCTATGGCCGTGATGGTGAACCTATGACACGCGTGTCAGCACTGACACGCATGGCTATTTTTGATGACACGCGGCCACATGCGGCCGCATACAGAGAAGTCCACCTTATAAGAGCCAATCTAATTCCATCCTTAAATTTGTAAAAGGCTCTACAAATTTAACATCTGCATGTTTGACCATTGTTCACTCCATAACTCAGCATGGAATATACATTTTTCTTATTTAAACTATAAATATTGCAAAAAAAAATTTTTTCCTCAAAGTTGACACTCCACCCAAGTTATGCTCAGGTTTTTGGCAAATTTTGACACACCAAGCTCAAAAGGTTGCTTATCACTGGTCTATGGGCTACATACAACCCATAGGCCAATGATAGTTTATCATCCTCATCATTGTCCTACTGTCCATTATAATCCACAGTCCAATTAGAGCTCTAGTCAACAGGCCACATATGACTCTTGGGTCAACTATAGTAAATGGGACACATGTGGCCATTTGTGGATTGTTTATAATCCGTGGACTACCTGCAGCACACAGTCAATGATGATCGACGGGCCACATTTGGCCCACAAGTCCATTATGATACCTGGCCACAAGGCACGGACATTCTCTCTCTCTACTCCTCCCCTGCAGACCCTCTTTCCGGCCACTGACCTTCCAGGATGAGTTCGACGCTCATCTGGGGCAGGTCGCAGGTGGGGGTGAAGCTGCGCAGAGGGATCTGTTCCATGTCAGATTGGTACCCAAACTGGAGGAGCTTCAGGGTCCAGTTGAGATGCCTGTGGGCAAGGAAAATGGCCGCCGAGGACTCAGAGTTCAGTCGAGCCCACCACCCTCTTGGACCACCCCGTTTTTGGGATCGATCCCCAGGTACAGCTTAATGGAGTCCATTTCCACAAAAAGGTAACTCTTACAGGAGTGAATTTCCCCTCCAAAAAAGCTGTAGACCGCCATTTCAATTAAAAAGAAGAAGAACGTCAATGAATAAAAAGTCCAGTCTGGCATTATTGGCAGTCCAATAAGTAAGTCACACGATGAAGGTCCTTACCTGCTGACAGAGCGGCGGATCAAAAGAACTGAGGCGGTGGCGCTACCCACCTGCTACTTATACTCGCAAGGGGAGAGTGGGCGGGGCCAACCGCCAAAGTTTTTCAAATCTATCTAGAAGGTTCCGAAGCTGTCTGCTCAGGCGCAGAAACTACCATATGTGCAATTCACAGGGATCACGATGGGAAATAATAATAATAATAATAATAATATTTTTATCCCACCCCATCTCCTCGAGGGGACTCAGAGTGGCTTACAATACAGTGTTCCCTCGCTGCTTCGCGGATCGTTTTACGCAAACTCGCTGTTTCGCGTTTTTTAAAAAAAATATTTTTCAATAAATATGAATTGATTGGCGCTGACAGAGGGAGTGCGCTGTGGGAGGGCGGGGAAAGAGGAGGAGAGGGTCGGGGACAGGGTCAGGAGGGCGAGGGCCGCCTCAACCGGGCAGGCGCTTCCCCTTGCTCCCTGCCTGAGGACCTGGCTTTTCCTCAGTGGCTTCATGTCAAAGCGCTGGTGATTTAGGAAGGATGGGGGAAAGGAGGAGGAGGGGAGGGGGAGCCAGGCGTCTCCATTTCGCAGATATTCACTTATCGCGGGGGGTTCTGGAAAAGAACCCCCGCGATAAGTGTGAGAACACTGTACTCCTAGTAGATTCCACTCACTTCCCGTTGTCTCAGCCCCGTTCTTAACTAGGAGTTGTTTACAAGTCAGATGTTTGTAACCCGGGGACTGCCTGTAATAACGTATCCATGTTACCTCTTCTGGCTGTTCATGGACAGAACCAGGCTGGTGTTCTCCAGCGCCATCTTGACCCGCGAAGGAACGTATTTCAGGCTGGCGAGGGTCAGCAGCGGCCGGCGCGGCTCGACGGGGATCACGGGGTCTAGGAATACCAAAGGAGGGCTTGGACCGTACCCAGAAAACCCAAAGCCTTTGGGAAAGAGGGGGCGATCCTATGGCATTCCAGCATCTTCGTTGTCGTTCTCCTCCTCACCTGTGGCAGCGTCTCCGTCCCCGAGGCGCCGCAGGAGCTCGCTGTGGAAGAGCCCCTCGTGGAGCTCGGCGTGGAGACCCCAGACTTGAAGGCCCACGCTCTGCAGCTGCCGCTTGCCTGGGTTCACCTCCAACGAGACGGTGAGCGCCAACGACAGCTCAGCCAGGCAGGCCTCCTCCTGTGGGAGGAAGCACAGCAGCCTTTCAGGCATGTCCAGACGTCCAAACTAGCGTGCAGGTCTGTTTACTGCCTTAAAATCCAAGAATTGGGGGCCTCAAAGGTCATCCAGTCCAATCCTATTCTCCCACATAAGGATACATAAGACAAATGACGGATATCCGAATCCTCCCATGCTCTGATTACAAGAGCAAATTGAACCTGAACTATAAGCCTGCAGTCAAGTCTGTACTGGGTTACACTGGGCCCATAACCCATGTTGGGTGAGTGGGCTTATTAATGAAAGGTCCTCCCCATAAATACACAGCAGAGTAACTTAGCAGCAGCAGCAGCGTGACCCAACACCGGAAGCCCAAAGTGATAAAAAGAACAAATACACACAGACCAACGTTGTCTCTTCCATAGGAGGCTTTTCTTCGTAGTATAATAATATGGTTGCACAATTACCAGAACTAGGATTCCATAACACAAATAAACAAATACGTAGTAGCTTTACACACAGCAGCCTTCACACTGGAGTTTACTCACACAAGGCTTCTCTCACACAAAGGTTTACCTCACACTCCTCAGGACGACACTAGCTTTATTTATTTTATTTATTTATTTTATTTGCTTTACTTCTATACCGCCTTTCTCAGCCATAAAAGGCGACTCAAGGCAGTTTACATAGTAAAGGTTAACACAACAACATCAAAAAGCAGTTAAAACACATTATACAAAACATATCAAATCAAGCAATCATTAACATAAACGTGCGCCTCAGCAAACAAATCAAACTCAGAATCCGCAATCATAATCCTTTATACCAATTCCTGTGTTCGATTGTACCATCTTACTGTGTTTCATTGCACAATTAGCCAAACGCTTGTTCATAAAGCCAGGTCTTGACCTTCCTCCGGAATGCCAGCAATGAGGGGGCCTGTCTGACGTCCACAGGTAGGGCGTTCCACAGCCGGGGGGCCACCACCGAGAAGGCCCTGTCTCTCGTCCCCGCCAACCGCGCCTGCGATGCGGGTGGGACCGACTAACTCTAACAGGCAGCAGCCTTCATACTGGAGCTTTCTCACACAAGGCTTCTCTCACACAGAGGTATACCTCACACTCCTCAGGACGACACTAACTTTGACTCACTGGCGCTGACAGGCTTCGGCCTACTCACTCTCCTCAGGATGGCACTAGCTTTGGTCCACTAACTCTTAACAGGCAGCAGCCTTCCCAGTGGAGCTTTCTCACACAAGGCTTCTCTCACACAGAGGTATACCTCACACTCCTCAGGACGACACTAACTTTGGCCCACTGGCTCTAACAGGCTTCGGCCTACTCACTCTCCTCAGGACGGCACTAGCTTTGGTCCACTAACTCTAACAGGCAGCAGCCCTCACACTGGAGCTTTCTCACACAAGGCTTCTCTCACACAGAGGTATACCTCACACTCCTGAGGATAACACTAGCTTCGGCCCACTGACTCTAACAGACTTCAGCTTACCAACTCCTTCGATGCTTGAATCACCCTTTTGTAATCAAAAATAACTAGTTAAATTTTAATATTTCTGACAATTCAATCCTATTCTCCCGCGATGGATATCCAGATCCCTCCATGTTCTGATCACAAGAGCAAATTGAGCCTGAACCCTAAGCCTGAAGTCAACAGGAATGAAATGACACAATATAGACAGAAACTCTAAGGGGGTGGCCTTACCTGCCGGCTGCTCTTGAGCACCTTGCTGTTCACCTGGCTGAAGCCCACTTCGCAGGCCGTGCTGAGAGAGAGGAGAGTATGTCGCGGTAAACTTATGGGTTGTTGTAACTCGGGGACTGCCTGTACATGTCTTGTCCAGATGTTATCTGCCTTTGCCCCGCTCTGAGACCGACCGGCTATGACTTGGTCACTCGGAGTATTTCTACGGCCAGGAATTCGAACCTGGGTCTCCAGAGCGGAATGGGACTCACCTCCTTCCGTCCCAGTCTAAGAGGAGACGGGCCCGGGCCACTTGGACGTGCCATAGGGACTCGGAGGCCGCGACATGGAGGACCATGACGTTGACCGAGTCCACGTGGACGGAGCAAAGCTGCGGAGGAGAAAGATACAGGGAGATCGCGGCCACTCGGACAGGAGGGACCACATTACCCATTCGCTTGCCTCCATTCCCTCTTCCGTACCTGGCTGAGCAACCGCAGGAGCGGGGCCCCAAAGGAGAGCGCCCGCCCCGTCTCCATGTCGCCGTCCGTTGGGTCAGTGGCTTCCGATTCTGGGGGACGCAACCGGGGGCTTGAACGGAGGTCCACTCGGACGCGCACTTCCCCAAAACACAGGGCCAGGTAGCGCCTGGATGGGGGGGGGGGGGACACACAATTTTGGAGGACAAACAATGGGACATTTTGAAGGGTGTGTGCCCTCAGCAGTTTGGGGGGGGGACTTTTGCAATTATTATTATTATTAGATACACAACAAGATGAGTCCACAGCAAACAAGATCACTCTGTGGCTGGTTGTTGTATTGGATCACACTTCGGACACTTCCCAAGTGTCTACGACTATTATTATTTTTATTATTATTATTATTATTATTATTATTAGAAACACAACAAGATGAGTACACAGCAAACAAGATCACTCTGCTGCTGGTTGTTGTATTGGATCACACGTCGGACACTTCCCAAGTGCCTAGGACTATTATTATTTTTATTATTATTTGACTAGGATTATTATTATTATTATTATTATTATTATTATTATTATTATTATTATTTCAGGGGGTTTTCCCCCACTTCCCCAAAGCAATGGATCCCGAACAACCCTGGCTTCGGAAAGAGGAAGTCAACAAAATACGGTCTGGGGAAAAAGTAAACAGGAAGTGACACGTCTTGCCTATTTCGGTGTCCAGCTGGCGTTATGGGATTAACACACACACACACACACCCCCCCCGGGGAGGTCACGCTTGACCGATTTGGCTCTCTTGGGGATTTACTCCTGAACGCGTCTGGCCGGAGAAATGGCTTTTGAGAAATGTCTGGGCGAATTTGGGGACAGCGTCCATTTAAAACTTTGGCCCTCCCTCCAGGTGTTTTGGACTTCAACTCCCACAATTCCTAACAGCCTACCAGCACTTCAAATAGTGTCCCTCGGAGAACTGCAAACACGGAGTGTTTTCAATGGGTCAAGGCAACTGATTTGATCCTCCGCTCCCCTTATGACCTCGGGTGACCCCCCCACAAACATGGCCGCCGTCAACACTTACGGCACATCGGTGCTGAAGAGTTTGCTGGAGACCCAGATGCGGTCGATCTCCTGCCAAAGGAAGCCAAAGAGAGACGTGTTGGTCCGGAACCCACCCTTTCGGGCCGGAAGCGGACCACCAGGCCGCGCTGGAGGACCTCGAGATCGACCAACCCGGATAACAATAACCCGGATGCCCCGAGACGCACCACGGTCTGCTGCTCCTCCTGGAACTTCAGGCTGAGGTTCTGGACCCAGAAGAACCCAAAGGAGCGGACCTTCAGCTCAGCCTGCAGGCGGCGCCGGCACCAGTTGGTCACCAGGATGTAGAGGACCCATCTAGGAAGCAAAGAGGGACAAGGTGCCATAGAGTTGCCTCGGAGGACCGGAAAAAAAATGCCTACAGGGAGCGGATTGAATTGGAAGTAGACAAGTGAAACCACGGAGATGGATAAATGGAACCTCTCTAGGAATTTCCCAGGTCCTCCAGTATGAATCATATGGAAACGAAGGACTTCCTGCGCAGGAGTAGAGTGGCGCCAGGGGACATAGAGATTGCATAGAGGGGACAGACTGAACTGGAAGCAGCCAAATGAAACCACAGAGATGGATAATTGGAAACTCTCTAGGCATTTTCTAGGTCCTCCAGTATGAACCATATTGAAATGAAGGACTTCCTGCACAAGAGTAGAGTAGCGCCAGGGGACGTAGAGAATGCCTAGAGGGGGCAGACTGAATTGGAAGCAGGTGAAACCACAGAGATGGGTAAATGGAAGCCCTCTAGGCATTTTCTAGGTCCTCCAGTATTGAAATGAAGGACTTCCTGTGTAGCAATAGAGTGGTGCCAGGTGACATAGAGAATGCCTAGCGGAGACAGACTGAATTGGAAGCTGACATGTGAAACCACCGAGATGAATAACTGGAAACTCTCTAGGCATTTCTTAGGTCCTCCAGTATGAACCATATTGAAATGAAGGACTTCCTGAGCAGGAGTAGAGTAGTGCCAGGGGACGTAGAGAATGCCTAGAGGGGGCAGATTGAATTGGACGTAGACAAGTGAAACCATGGAGATGGATAAATGGAACCTCTCTAGGCATTTCCTAGGTCCTCCAGTATGAATCATATAGAAGCGAAGGACTTCCTGCACAGGAGTAGAGTGGAGCCAGGGAACATAGAGAATGCCTAGAGGGGGCAGATTGAATTGGAAGCAGACAAGTGAAACCACAGAGATGGATTAATGGAAGCCCTCTAGGCATTTTCTAGGTCCTCCAGTACTGAAATGAAGGACTTCCTCCACAGGAAGACCATAGAATGATGTCCAGAAGACCTAAAAATGCCTAGAGGGCTTCCATTAATCCATCTCTGTGGTTTCACTTGTTTGCTTATTATTATTATTATTATCTTTATTTGTACCCCGCTAGCATCTCCCGAAGGACTCGATGCGGCTTACACAGGCCAAGGCCTCAACAAAACAATAGCATAACAATACAATTCAAAGCAAATCAAAAACATTAAAGCAATAACAGTAAAAACAACAAAACAATACACCATAACACAATTCAATCTGTCCTCTCTAGGCATTCTCTACGTCCCCTGGCGCCACTCTACTCCAGCGCAGGAAGTCCTTCGTTTCCATATGGTCCATACTGGAGGACCTAGGAAATGCCTAGAGAGCTTCCAATTTTCTAGGTCCTGCAATACTGAAATGAAGGACTTCCTCCACAGGAAGACCATAGAATGATGTCCAGAACACCTAAAAATGCCTGGAGGGGACCCATTTTGTCAGAAGTGAATAAACAACACCATGGACCCTATTGAAATGAAGGACTTCCTGCGCAGGGACATCATAAAGTTGCGCCAGAGGACCAAGAAAATGCCTACAGAGGCCATGCTTGGTCGGATGAATCCATCTGCAGAGAACGGCAATCTCTGGAACCTTCTTCAGTTTTCAGCCCCCAAATCCCACCTTCGTATGCCATGAAAGGCAGAAGAGATAGATAGATATGCAGATGTATTCCTCCTCCCACAGACAACTCCTTTGTATTTCTCTCCATCACGTCGCTAACATTTTGGGGGCAGCAAAACTAGTTCATCGCAAGACGCCGTCATTATGAAAAAGGAAAGATCGAGGGGGGGAAACCACAATATTTACCACTTAACTGTACATAAACCGCATATTATCACTGTATCGATATCAATATATACACATATGTCTGATGTGCTATCCGTGTTATTGTATCTATCTCTATCTCTACATATGTGTGTATTATTACTGCAGTGTTGATCTCTACGTACATAGGTGTGAGTTATTGTTATGATTATTATATCTATATATACACGTATGTATTATTGTTATTATTATTATTATTGTACCTATACCTATATATATGTACGTGTGTATTATCGTTGTAGTCTTGATCTCTACATACACAGGTGTGCGTTATTATTATTATTATTATTATTATTGTATCTATATCTATATATACAAGTATGTGTGTATTATTATTATTTATTATTATTTATTTATTATTTACTTACTTTATTTCTATACCGCTTTTCTCAGCCCTCAGGCGACTCAAAGCGGTGAACAACATCAGTACAAAACATCACAAAACAAGTATAGGACAATTAAAAACAATTAGCACATAAATCATTAACATCAGAATAACAATCATGAGCGCCTCAACAGTAAAATCAGAATCCAGTCTCGTCATCCATGATTCCGTACTCCTATGTTCAATTACACTGCTTAATCAAATGCTTGTTCGAACAGTAGTATTGATCTCTACATACATAGGTGTGTGTTACTGTTATTATTATCATATATATATATACACGTAAGTATTATTATTATTATTGTATCTATATCTATATATACATATGTGTGTATTATTATTGTAGTATTGATTGCTACATACACAGGTGTGCATTATTATTATTGTATCTATACCTATTATAAACATATGTGTGTATTATTGTTGTAGTCTTGATCTCTACATACATAGGTGTGCGTTATTGTTATTATCATTGTATCTATATATACACATATGTATGATTGTTATTATTATTGTATCTATACCTATTATATACGTATGTGTGTATTATTATTGTAGTATTGATCTCTACGTACATAGGTGTGCGTTATTATTGTTATTATTATTGTATCTATATGTACATGTATGTATTATTGTTATTATTATATCTATACATATATATATATGTGTGTGTGTGTGTGTATTATTATTGTGGTGTTGATCTCTACGTACATAGGTGCGCATTATTATTTTTGTTATTATTATATCCATATCTATCGCTATACATATGCATGCACAATAATGATTACTATTATTGTCTATGTGTTTTTTTTTACTCTTATTGTATCTCTGTGTACATATGTATGTATTATTATTATTATTATATTGTGTGGATTGATCTCTATACCTATGCATGCACAATAACTGTTCCTATCATTGTCTATGTGTTTTACTCATATTGTATCTCTGTATACATATGTGTGTATTATTATCATTATTATTATTGTACCTATACCTATATATATGTACGTGTGTATTATTATTGTGGTGTTGATCTCTACATATATAGATTCGCATTCGCATAGGCATGAACAATAATGGTTCCTGTTATTGTCTATGTGTTATTGTATACTCTTATTGTATCTCTGTGTACATATGTATGTATGTATGTATTATTATTATATTGTGTGGATTGATCTCTATACCTATGCATGCACAATAACTGTTCCTATCATTGTCTATGTGTTTTACTCTTATTGTATCTCTGTATATATATTATACAGAGATACAATATATATATACGTACGTGTGTATTATTATTGTGGTGTTGATCTCTACATATATAGATTTGCATTCGCATAGGCATGAACAATAATGGTTCCTGTTATTGTCTATGTGTTAGTGTATAGTCTTATTGTATCTCTGTGTACATATGTATGTATTATTATTATTATTATTATTGTACCTATACCTATATATCTGTACGTGTGTATTATTATTGTGGTGTTGATCTCTACATATATAGATTTGCATTCGCATAGGCATGCACAATAATGGTTCCTGTTATTGTCTATGTGTTAGTGTATACTCTTATTGTATCTCTGTGTACATATGTGTGTATTATTATTATTATTATTGTACCTATACCTATATATCTGTACGTGTGTATTATTATTGTGGTGTTGATCTCTACATATATAGATTTGCATTCGCATAGGCATGCACAATAATGGTTCCTGTTATTGTCTATGTGTTAGTGTATACTCTTATTGTATCTCTGTGTACATATGTGTGTATTATTATTATTATTATTGTACCTATACCTATATATCTGTACGTGTGTATTATTATTGTGGTGTTGATCTCTACATATATAGATTTGCATTCGCATAGGCATGAACAATAATGGTTCCTGTTATTGTCTATGTGTTAGTGTATACTCTTATTGTATCTCTGTGTACATATGTGTGTATTATTATCATTATTATTATTGTACCTATACCTATATATATGTACGTGTGTATTATTATTGTGGTGTTGATCTCTACATATATAGATTCGCATTCGCATAGGCATGCACAATAATGGTTCCTGTTATTGTCTATGTGTTAGTGTATACTCTTATTGTATCTCTGTGTACATATGTGTGTATTATTATTATTATTATTGTACCTATACCTATATATCTGTACGTGTGTATTATTATTGTGGTGTTGATCTCTACATATATAGATTTGCATTCGCATAGGCATGAACAATAATGGTTCCTGTTATTGTCTATGTGTTAGTGTATACTCTTATTGTATCTCTGTGTACATATGTGTGTATTATTATCATTATTATTATTGTACCTATACCTATATATCTGTACGTGTGTATTATTATTGTGGTGTTGATCTCTACGTACATAGATTTGCATTCGCATAGGCATGCACAATAATGGTTCCTGTTATTGTCTATGTGTTATTGTATACTCTTATTGTATCTCTGTATACATATGCGTATATTATTATTACTATATTGTGGATTGATCTCTATACCTATGCATGCACCATAACTGTTCCTATTATTGTCTATGTGTTTTTTTACTTATTGTATCTCTGTATACATATGTGTGTATTATTATTATTATATTATTATTGTATCTATATGTACATGTATGTATTATTGTTATTATTATATCTATACCTATATATATATATATATGTGTGTGTGTGTGTGTATTATTATTGTGGTGTTGATCTCTACGTACATAGGTGCGCATTATTATTTTTGTTATTATTATATCCATATCTATCTCAATACCTATGCATGCACAATAACTGTTCCTATTATTGTCTATGTGTTTTCATAGAATCCTAGAATCCTAGAGTTGGAAGAGACCTCCTGGGCCCTCATCTAGTCCAACCTCATTCTGCCAAGAAGCAGGAATATTGCATTCAAATCACCCCTGACAGATGGCCATCCCGCCTCTGCTTCAAAGCCCCCAAAGAAGGAGCCTCCACCACACTCCCCCCGGGGCAGAGAGTTCCACTGCTGAACAGCTCTCACAGTCATAGAATCCTAGAGTTGGAAGAGACCTCCTGGGCCATCATCCAGTCCAACCCCATTCTGCCAAGAAGCAGGAATATTGCATTCAAAGCACCCCTGACAGATGGCCATCCAGCCTCTGTTTCAAAGCCACCAAAGAAGGAGCCTCCACCACACTCCAGGGCAGAGAGTTCCACTGCTGAACAGCTCTCACAGTCATAGAATCCTAGAGTTGGAAGAGACCTCCTGGGCCCTCATCCAGTCCAACCTCATTCTGCCAAGAAGCAGGAATATTGCATTCAAATCACCCCTGACAGATGGCCATCCCGCCTCTGCTTCAAAGCCCCCAAAGAAGGAGCCTCCACCACACTCCCCCCGGGGCAGAGAGTTCCACTGCTGAACAGCTCTCACAGTCATAGAATCCTAGAGTTGGAAGAGACCTCCTGGGCCCTCATCCAGTCCAACCTCATTCTGCCAAGAAGCAGGAATATTGCATTCAAAGCACCCCTGACAGATGGCCATCCCTGACAAAGCCCCCAAAGAAGGAGCCTCCACCACACTCCCCCCGGGGCAGAGAGTTCCACTGCTGAACGGCTCAAGAGTTTTTCTACTCTTATTGTATCTCTGTATACATATGTATTATTATGATTATTGGAAGATTATGTATTGGAAGATTATGTATTATTATGATTATGATTATATGAATATTGTGGATTGATCTCTATACCTATGCATGCACAATCATGGTTCCTATTATGGTCTATGTGTGCCTATGCCCCTCAACATGAAGCACTCCCCCCCCCCCCCAATAGAGAACCCTGAGGAGGGATGTAAACAAACCCAGGGCAGGAAGGCCTGGCCCTGGCTTCACTCCCCAAGGGGAAGGAAGGGGGGGGAAGGAAGGGGTCCCCCCCACCCACCTGGCTTACCTGCCCAGGCAGAACCCCCCCAGGAGGGCCAGCAAGGCCAGCAGAAGGGCCACCAGCCACGGGGCCGCCATGCGGGGGCGCTCCTGCTTCCTCCTTCCTTCCTTCCTTCCTTCCTCTCTCTGCGGCTGCTTCCTGCCAACTGACGGCGGGGGCGCGCACCGAGCGGGGAATGGAACGCTCGCGAGGGCGCGCCCCCGTGCAGCCCTGCCATTGGAAGGAGGGAGGAGGGAGGGGCGGGGCCAGGCCTGGCAAGGAAGCCACGCCCCCCCGAGAGAGGAGCCCCTGCAGAGAGAAGACAGCCAGGCATATGCCACTCACTCAGACTTTCTCTGTGCTAATCATCATATATTGTATATACATAACGTATTGATAATATTATAATTTAATACAATGTAATACTAAAAATAGAGAGAGAGATACATATATATACATACATACATACACACACACACACACACACACACACACATATATATATATATATATATATATATATATATACAGATATAGTTTGAGATCTTCCGGGGAGACCCTGCTCTCGATCCCGCCTGCTTCTCAAGCTCGGCTGGCGGGGACGAGAGATAGGGCCTTCTCGGTGGTGGCTCCTCGGCTGTGGAACGCCCTTCCTACGGACATTAGACTAGCACCATCTCTAATGGTATTCCGCAAAAAGGTGAAGACCTGGATGTTTGTGCAGGCGTTTGAGTAATTTAGTGCAATCTGGTAATGGAACATAGGAATGGAACAATGGACGACGAATCTGGACTACGCTTGGATGATGAGAAGATTGGGTACGGTTGTTTTTTGTAATAATTGTGCATTGTAATTGCTTATTGGTAATTTATGGATAATGTGTTAAGTCAATTGTTATATGTTGTATGGAACCACTGCTGTTTCTACTGTTTTTACTGTTTGTGAACCGCTGTGAGTCGCCTTCGGGCTTGAGATACAGCGGTACATAAGCAAAGTAAATAAATAAATAAATAAATAATAGTGGGGACGGAAGACAGGGCCTTTTCCGTGGTGGCCCCCCGGCTCTGGAACTCCCTCCCCAAAGATCTTAGACAGGCCCCTACACTGGCAGTCTTCAGAAAGAACTGGAAGACCTGGCTGTTCCAGTGTGCCTTCCCCGAATAGGAAACCTCCAATACCACGTCCCAGACGCACTTTATTAAAGGCAAGACCACTGCACACCGCACACTGCACTTGCCCGTAAGCCTCATATTCCACCTGTCACATCAGCACTTTTAACCCTTGTACCCTTACTCTGGCCCGGCCTAGTTTTATTTTATTGTGTCTTAGTGGATTGCTTGTTTAGTGGATTGATTGTTTGTTTGTTAGTGGATTGTTGATTGATTGTTGTGGATTGTTGTTGTGTGGATTGCATTGCTTGTTGTTTTAGATTGCTTTAATTGTTTTAATTTGCCTAGGTTTTGTATTTGTATTGTATTGGGAGAGGAGCCACTGCAGAGAGAAGAGAGGTTAGAGAGGGAGATACCTTCTCTGTGCTTATAATATATTATATACACATAAAATATTGATAATATTATAATGTAATACAATGTAATACTAAAAATAGGGAGAGAGATACATTCTGTGGCAATAATATGATATATTGTATAATACATATAATACTGATAATATTATAATGTAAAACATCATCTATTGGACAGATGGCAAGCTGTTTAACCTCAGCAGACTGAAAGCCAAAACCAAGGTTACAACAACATCTGTTATAGAACTCCAGTATGCTGATGACGATGTCGTCTGTGCGCATTCAGAAGAAGATCTACAAGCCACTCTAAACACCTTTGCAGAAGCATACGAGAAGCTCGGCCTGTCATTAAATATTGAGAAAACCAAAGTGCTGTTCCAGCAGACACCAGCCACCCCCTCCCCAATGCCAGAGATACAGTTTAATGGTGTATCATTAGAAAATGTTGACCATTCCCGTTTCCTTGGCAGCCACCTCTCCACCAAAGTCAACATCAACACTGAAATACAACTCCGCCTGAGCTCTGCGAGTGCAGCATTTTCCCGAATGAAGCAGAGAGTGTTTGAGGACCGGGACATCCGTAGGGAGACCAAGGGGCTTGTCTACAAAGCTATTGTCCTCCTAACCCTGCTCTATGCCTGCGAAACGTGGACTGTCTACAGATGTCAACACTGACACTGAAATACAACTCCGCCTGAGCTCTGCGAGTGCAGCATTTTCCCGAATGAAGCAGAGAGTGTTTGAGGACCGGGACATCCGTAGGGAGACCAAGGGGCTTGTCTATAAAGCTATTGTCCTCCTAACCCTGCTATACACCTGCGAGACGTGGACTGTCTACAGATGTCAACACTGACACTGAAATACAACACCGCCTGAGTGCAGCATTTTCCCGAATGAAGCAGAGAGTGTTTGAGGACCGGGACATCCGTAGGGAGACCAAGGTGCTTGTCTATAAGGCTGTTGTCCTCCCAACCCTGCTCTGCGAGACGTGGACTGTCTACAGACGTCACATGCAACTCCTGGAATGATTCCATCAGCGCTGCCTCCAGAAAATCCTGCAAATCTCTTGGGAAGACAAGCAGGGAAATGTCAGCAAAGACCACCAGCACTGAAGCAATGGTCCTCCGCCATGTTGTCCAGATGCCTGACCACCGTTTCCCAAATTTATTTATTTATTATTTATTTACTTTATTTCTATACCGCTTTTCTCAGCCCTCAGGCGACTCAAAGCGGTGAACAACATCGATACAAAACATCACGAGACAAGTATAGGGAAATTAAAAACAATTGTAACATAAATCATTAGCATCAGAGTAACAGTCATTAGCACCAAAGCAATTGCTCTACTCCCAACTCAAGAACAGAAAACGGGATGTTGTTGGGCAGGAAAAGAGATTGAAAGATGGGCTCAAAGCCAACCTCAAAAACTCTGGCATAGACACTGAGAACTGGGAAGCCCTGGCCCTTGACCGCTCTAACTGGAGGTCAGCTGTGACCAGCAGTGCTGCAGAATTTGAAGAGGCACAAATGGAGGGCGAAAGAGAGAAACGTGCCAAGAGGAAGAAGGTGCATCAAACCCACCCCGACTGGGACCGCCTTCCATCTGGAAACCAATGCCCTCACTGCGGAAGGGAGAAGATGCAGGTCAAGAATAGGGCTCCACAGCCACCTATGAAGCCACCCCCAGGACACCGAACTTGGAGGACCATCATCCTCAGACTACGAGGGATCGCCTAAGTAACATAATACAAATATTGTGCTATGGTAATAATATAATATATTGTATCTACATATTACTTGTAAGCCACTCTGAGTCCCCTTCGGGGTGAGAAAGTGCAGCATATCAATGCCTGCACTAATACATATGTGTATGTTTATGTATGCAGTATATATGTGTATGTATATGTGTGTGTGTGTGTGTGTATATATATATATATGAAAATACATATATAAGAAATGCAAGGCTGAATTAATATATATATATGTGTGTGTGTGTGTGTGTGTGTGTATGAAAATGCATATATAAGAAATGCATGGCTGAGCATATGTGTGTGTATATATATATATATATACATACAAATATATGAACATACCTAATAAATGCAAGGCTGAGTTAATATATATGTACGTGTCTCTATATATGAAAATGAATATATAAGAAATGCAAGGCTGAGCATATATGTGTTATGAAAATACAAATGTAAGAAATACCAAGCTAATATATATAAGAAATCTGAGGTTGAGTCATATATACATATATTTATGTGCTCAGCCTTGCATTTCTTATATATTCATTTTCATATAGAGAGACACATATATATTATTAACTCAGCCTTGCAATTATTATATATGTATGTTCATTTGCATATATATATACATACATATATATATGCTGTTTTGCATTCAGTTTTGCATTTCTTATACAGTATATATATTTTCATGTGTGTGTGTATATATATATTTGTATTTTCATATATATTACACATATTTATATATATTTGATCAACCTCACATTTGTTCTATAGGAATGTCCATATATATATATATATATATATATACACACACACACACACACACACACACACACACACACACACACACACATATTTGCTGAATCTTTTGTATAGGAATTTTCAGGTATATATATATGTATATATTAGCTCACCCTTAGATTTTTTATTTATACACAAACATATATTTGCTTATCCTTGCACTCCTTCTATAAACATTTTCATTTTATATATCTATGTATGTACTGTGTGTGCATATATATATATGAATCTAAAATTGCATATATATGTGTTTGTGTGAAGATGCCTATATAAAGAATGCAAGGAGGTACAAATAGACATATACTCTGTGTGTGTGTGTGTATATATATATATATACACACACATACATACAAACACACATACACAGACTACTTTGAAGTATTGTGGATGCTCCTTCTCTGGAGGTTTTTAAGCAGAAGCTGGATGGCCATCTGTCAGGAGTGTTTTGATTGTGTCTTCCTGCTTTAGATTGGCCTTTGGGATTCCCGCGCAACTCTATGTTATTAGGCATGGAAAAGAAGGTACGCAGACACCTTTTTGCATGGAAAATAATGCATATGTTTATTGATGGCACCCGTGTGCTTGAATATCAGCAATAGAAGGTGGACGGAAACACGGAGAAGGGTGGTCATCTTCTTCCTTGAAGGTGTCCGAAGGCCCGTCTGGTCAGGACAAACGGAGAGTCCCAAAGGTTTGGAAGGTCATAGTTCAGAGCGGTAGGCGTGGGGCGGCTTGGGCATCTCTGAGGGCCGCATGAAGATGCCCTCCATGGCCTTCCAGTAGCTGTCCTGGCTGGAGTAGGCCATGCCATGCACCTCCCGCTGACCGTTGATGGGCCGGCCGTACTGCTCCCCGGTCACCGAGAGGAGGACGTCGGTGGAGGAGTGCTTGAAGCGCACCTCGTCCTCGCGGTCCCAGTACCTGCCGCCACAAAGGACCGTCCAGTCGTCCAGGACGTCACCTTCGCCCTCCTCCCCAAAGGCACTGACCTCCTGCAACACAAGAGAACGTGGTCATTTGTCCAGTTCCGGGCAAAGCAATTCAAAAAGAGAAGCAATATGGAAATTGTCCAGAGACCAGAAGGGTCAAAGGCTTGGAAGTCATTGAGGAGGGGAATAACAATAACAACAACAACAACAACAAATCTTTATATCCCGCTTTTCTCCCAAAGCGGCGTACAACATATTATAATAATGTAAACAACAATCCACATACATCAATAATAAGTATAAAACTGTATGTTATTGTTTATTGCTTATTGTGTATTTTCTGCTTTTGAGTTTATTTTAACTGTTTTGTATTGATTATTTGTTTATTGATGTTCTGTGGGCTCGGCCTCATGTAAGCCGCACCGAGTCCCTTGGGGAGATGGTAACGGGGTACAAATAAAGTTTATTATTATTATTATTATTATTATTATTATTATTATTATTATAACACCATAAAATAAGCAGTTTAAAACAAGAATATACATTTACACTCTTGTGGCATCATTGTGATTGTGTTTATTGTAATATTATATTATTATGTATTCATGTGTTTGTAATTATGATGTTGATGTTTATTGTTTGCGTTGTCGGTTTTATTCTTTTGTAATTTGTTGTCTGGGCTTGGCCCCACGTAAGCCGCCCCGAGTCCCCAGCAGGGAGATGGTGGTTGGGTATAAATAAAGTATTATTATTATTATTATTATTATTATTATTATTATTATTATTATACAGTTTCTCAAGTCGCTCCTGACACGACAAAAATATTATTATTATTATTATTATTATTATTATTATTATTATTATTATTATTATTATATGATGTCAGGTTGTATTGCACTTTGTTCCAGTCCATAACGTAATGGTGTTTCTTAAAAGCTTGTTTCGGGCTGCTCTGGAGACTGGGACATCACAGTGAATCAAGGCCGAACAGGGCATAGGGTGACAGCCTGTGCTGGATGGGGTCGCACTCCCCTTGAAGGCGCAGGTTCGCAGCTTGGGTGTGATCCTGGATTCATCGTTGAGCCTGGATCCCCAGGTCTCAGCGGTGGCCAGGGGAGCATTTGCACAGCTCAGGCTCGTGCGCCAGCTGCGCCCGTACCTCGGGAAGTCTGACTTGGCCACGGTAGTACACGCTCTGGTCACATCCCGTCTTGACTACTGCAACGCTCTCTACGTGGGGCTGCCCTTGAAGACGGCCCGGAAGCTTCAGCTAGTCCAGCGCGCGGCAGCCATGTTACTAACAGGAGCGGGACGCAGGGAGCACACAACGCCCTTGTTGTACCAGCTCCACTGGCTGCCGATTTGCTACCGGGCCCAATTCAAGGTGCTGGTGTTGGCCTACAAAGCCCTAAACGGTCCCGGCCCAAAATACCTGTCTGACCGCATCTCGGCCTATGAGCCCACGAGGACTTTGAGATCATCCGGGGAGGCCTTTCTCTCGATCCCGCCTGTCTCACAGGCACGCCTGGCGGGGACGAGAGACAGGGCCTTCTCGGTGGTGGCCCCCCGGCTGTGGAGCACCCTCCCTGTGGACATCAGATCGGCGCCCTCCCTTTTGACATTCCGTAAGAGTCTAAAGACGTGGCTGTTTGAGAGGGCCTTTGAGTAAGTGCTGCAACAATTGGCTATTGACGATCGGAACGGAATATGGATAATGGGAACTGGATTGTGATTCAATGATGAGACGTCGCGAATGATTTAGTGTAACTGTATTATTAGTGTTTATGTTATATTGTTATGTGGATATTTGTACCTGTTTTTATATGTTGTACACCGCCATGAGTCGCCCTGCAGGGCTGAGAACGGCGGTCTACAAGTGCATTAAATAAATAAAATAAATAATGGATTCAAATGGCAAAGAAAGAAAGCCTCTGGATGGCTAGATTATGTGTAATGGGAGTTTTAAGCAAGGGCTACATAGCTGTCTGTCAGGAGGGCTTGGATGGTGTCTTCCGACCCGGCAAAAATTTATAATGTTATAGTACAATGTAATATATAATATTAATATTGTGTAATAATATAATATATTGTATTTACTTTTTACTTGTAAGCTGCTCTGAGTCACCCTCGAGGTGAGAAGGGCGGTATATAAATAAATAATAAATAAAAGGGGTTGGATTGGATGGCCCTTGGGGTCCCTTCCAACTCTAGGATTCTATGATCTATCTAGCATACATATCTCTCTCTCTCTCTCTCTCTCTCTATATATATATATATATATATATTTAGCTGGATGGCCATCTGTCAGGAGGGATCAGATGGTGCCTTTGTGCCAGGCAGAAGGGGGCTGGACTGGATGGCCCTTGGGGTCCCTTTCCAACTCTGGAATTCTATGATCTATCTAGCATACATATCTATATCTATCTTTAGCTGGAAGGCCATCTGTCAGGAGGGATCAGATGGTGCCTTCCTGCCTGGTAGAAGGGGGCTGGACTGGATGGCCCTTGGGATCTCTTTCCAACTTTAGGATTCTATGATCTATCTAGCATACATATCTATAACTATATATGTTTAGCTGGATGGCCATCTGTCAGGAGGGATCAGAAGGGGGCTGGACTGGCTGGCCCTTGGATTCCTTGACGCCCCTTTCCCGGCCTCACCTGGTTGCCCGAGAGGGGTGAGGTGAAGTGATGGCTGTGCAGGTTGCGCCCGGTGTTGATGTGGGTCAGCCGGATGGCCTGTCCGCACTTGACCGGCGTCCCTCGTTCGCAGACGGTAGAGGTCTTGCCCCGGACGCGCCAATAGCTGTTGCTGTCATCCACGGAGGTCACTCCGGTCACTGACTGCTGACCGCTGCCTGGTCATAAAAGAGAAATACATAATAATAATAATAATAATAATAATAATAATAATAATAATAGGAAAGTGTCTGTCGTGTGATTGAATACAACAGCCAGCACAGTGATCTTGTTTGCTGTGTATCAATCTTGTTGTGTACCTCTTGAAGCAGTACCTATTCATCAACTCACATTTGCATGTTTTCGAACTGCTAAGTTGGCAGCAGGTTCAGCAGCTCAGCAGTTTAACCCACTATGCCACCAGGCCCCACCCCCTGGTATATTTGCATATTTTTAATTGTATATTTGAAGTTGTAATGTTTTTGATTGCAAGCTGCTTTGAGTCTCCGTGCAGTGGTTCTCAACCTGTGGGTCCCCAGATGTTTGGGCTGTGGCGCAGCTAGTTAGGAGCCAGCTGCATTAAATCACTGCTGACCGAGAGGTCATGAGTTCGAACCCAGCCCGGGTCGGAGTGAGCTCCCGGCCATTAATAGTCTAGTTTGCTGTTGACCTATACAGCCTGAAATATAGTTGCATCCGTCAAGTAGGAAATGTAGGTTCTGCTTTATGCGGGGAGGCTAATTTAACTAATTTATGACACCATAAAACCTTCCAGCAGCGTTCGTAAGAATGAGAAAGTACTCCATCAAGGATTCGGTGTCACAAGTGGACGGTGAAGCAACAGCTCCCCCTGTGGCCGGAATCGAGCATACCTTCATGAAGCCGGAAAAGCTGGAATGTTAAATTGCTTCTATATCTGCCTATATATGTTGTATGTCTAAATGGCATTGAATGTTTGCCATGTATATGTACATTGTAATCCAGGGCGGAATATAAATACTGTACATAAATAAATACAAGTCCGAGGAATCCCAGCCAGTTTAACAGCTGTTAAGAATTCTGGGAGTTGAAGGCCAAAACACGTGGGGACTCACACCATGGGATCAAGCAGGATATCAATACATTATTATTATTATTATTATTAACAACTCTAAACATTAATATCGAGTATAGAGTAATAAAAAATAATAACCAGTAACATAACAATATAAAATAATATAAACATATTTTTAAAGTATATGTAAATTAATAAAAGTATAAAATTATATATATCTAAAATATAATAATTATAAAAATATATGAAAATTAATAAAATAAATTCATATATATATAATAAAAATATAGGTAAATTAATAAAAGTATAAATTCATATATATATATATATATATATATATATATATATATCTAAAATTATAATTATAAAAATATAGGTAAATAAATAAAAGTATAAAATCATATATATATAACCATAATATTTATAAATATATAGGTAAAATAATAAAAGTATAAAATCATATATATGTATATATCTAAAATATAATTATAAAATATAGGTAAATTAATAAAAGTATAAAATCGCACACACACACACATATAACTAAAATATTATAATTATGAAAATATAGGTAAATTAATAAAAGTATAAAATTATGTATATATATCTAAAATATAGTAATGATAAAAATATATGTAAATTAATAAAAGTATAAAGTTATATATATATATATATATATATATATATATATATATATATATATAATGTATTGTTGAAGGCTTTCATGGCTGGAATTACTAGGTTCTTGTGGGTTTTTTTGGGCTATAGGGCCATGTTCTAGAGGCATTTTCTCCTGACGTTTCGCATGCATCTATGGCAAGCATCCTCAGAGGTTGTGAGGTCTGTTGGAATTAGGAAAATGGGTTTATATATCTGTGGAATGGCTGGGGTGGGGCAAAGAGCTCTTCCCTGCTGGAGCTGGGTGTGAATGTTTCAGCTGACCACCTTCATTAGCATTTGAAGGCCTGGCTGAGCCTGGGGGAATCTTTTGTTGAGAGGTGTTAAGATGTGCCTGGTTGTTTCCTCTCTGCTGTTTTGCTGTCGTAATTTTAGAGTATTTTAATACCGGTAGCCAGATTGTGTTCATTTTCATATATATAATTGTATAGGTAAATTAAAAAAAGTATAAATGATAAATATATAATATAATAATTATAAAAGTATTTTATAATAATTATAAAAATATTAATATAGGTAAATTAATAAAAGTATAAATTCATATATATATATATATATATATATATATATATCTAAAATTATAGTAATGATCAAAATATATGTAAATTAATAAAAGTATAAAATTATATATATATCTAAAAATATAGTAATGATAAAAATATATGTAAATTAATAAAAGTATAAAATCATATATATATATATATACACACACACACAAATATAATAATGATAAAAAATATAGGTAAAATAATAAAAGTATAAAATCATATATATATTGAAAATATAATAATGATAAAAATATAGGTGAATTAATAAAAGTATAAATTATAAATAGTGATAAAAATATATGTAAAGTAATTAAAGTAGAAAATCATAAAAGTATAAAATATAATATAGGTAAATCAATAAAAGTATAAAATCATATATATATATATATATATATATATATATATATATAATATAAAATAATAATTATAAAATACAGGTAAATCAATAAAAGTATAAATTATAAATATATAATATAATAAAAATATATGTAAGATAATAAAAGTATAAAATCACCCAACCTTTTTAACTTGTATGCAGAACACATCATGCGATGTGCGGGGCTTGATGAATGCAAAGCTGGGGTGAAAATTGCTGGAAGAAACATTAACAACCTCAGATATGCAGATGACACCACTCTGATGGCCGAAAGCGAGGAGGAGCTGAGGAGCCTTCTAATCAAGGTGAAAGAAGAAAGCGCAAAAGCCGGGTTGCAGCTAAACGTTAAAAAAACCAAGATTATGGCAACAAGAATGATTGACATCTGGAAAATAGAGGGAGAAACCGTGGAGGCCGTGACAGACTTTGTATTTCTAGGTGCAAAGATTACTGCAGATGCAGACTGTGGCCAGGAAATCAGAAGACGCTTACTTCTTGGGAGGAGAGCAATGTCCAATCTCGATAAAATAGTAAAGAGTAGAGACATCAGACTGGCAACAAAGATCCGCCTAGTCAAAGCCATGGTATTCCCTGTAGTAACCTACGGATGTGAGAGCTTGACCTTAGGGAAGGCTGAGCGAAGGAAGAGAGATGCTTTTGAGCTGTGGTGTTGGAGGAAAGTTCTGAGAGTGCCTTGGACTGCGAGAAGATCCAACCAGTCCATCCTCCAGGAAAGAAAGCCCGATTGCTCATTGGAGGGAAGAATAGTAGAGGCCAAGATGAAGTACTCTGGCCACATCATGAGGAGACAGTAAAGCTTAGAGAAGACAATGATGTTGGGGAAAGTGGAAGGCAAAAGGAAGAGGGGCCGACCAAGGGCAAGATGGATGGATGGCATCCTTGAAGTGACTGGACTGACCTTGAAGGAGCTGGGGGTGGTGACGGCCGACAGGGAGCTCTGGCGTGGGCTGGTCCATGAGGTCACGAAGAGTCGGAGACGACTGAACGAATGAACAACAACAACATATAATATAATGATAAAAATATAGGTAAATCAATAAAAGTATAAATTATAAATATATAATATAATAAAAATATATGTAAGATAATAAAAGTATAACATCATATATATTGTTGTTGTTCATTCGTTCAGTCGTCTCCGACTCTTCGTGACCTCATGGACCAGCCCACGCCAGAGCTCCCTGTCGGCCGTTACCACCCCCAGCTCCCTCAAGGTCAGTCCAGTCACTTCAAGGATGCCATCCATCCATCTTGCCCTTGGTCGGCCCCTCTTCCTTTTGCCTTCCACTTTCCCCAGCAAAGGATCACCGCCTTGTCGGGGCGCTGGAGCTTGAGCACCTCAATGATGTCATGAGCGAAACCGTGAAGGGCCACCCAAGACGGGACGGTTGTGGCAGAGAGGTCAGACCAAGCGTGATCCCTGGGGAAGGCAATGGCAAACCACTCCAGTATCCTTGCCAAGAAAACTAAATCATATATATATATATATATATCTAAAATTATAGTAATGACAAAAATATATGTAAATTAATAAAAGTATAAAATTATATATAATAATGAAAGAGATGGGGAAAGTTTCTGTTGGACTACAAATCCCAGAATCCCTGCCAGGTGTCCCTCTGCCTTGCCTGAAGGGGTGTAGGCCTAAGGAGCGGCCTTGTGGGCCCTCTGGGCGCGTGCAGAGTGCTTACCGGAGCCGTAGCGGACGTCATGCGAGTGGAGGCGGACCCCGTGGCGGGGGTTGAGCAGCTTCACCACGGACCCGCACGTCACCGCCTCCGAAGCCGCCTCGGACGAGGACACCAGGCCCAAAAGCACCACCAAAGCCGCCCCGGCCGGCGCCATCTTCCTCTTCCGGCAAGAAGAGACACACCGGAAGTTGCCCCTCAGGAAACGGCTGCCAGGAACCGGCGCCAGCGGCGGGGCTGAGGCCTAGCGCGCCTCACTTCCGGCCTACCGCCATTGGCTGGTAGGGAAAAGGGGGCGGAGCCGTTTCTTTAAAGGGACAGCGACCTGTGAGAAGCTTCTGTTGATGTTGGAGGAGGAAACTCACCTAGCTGGCCTCAGCAAGTGCTGAACCTGACTCAGCATATGAAATTAGAACAGCACAACAACAGAGAGGAAACAAACAAGGACATCTAATCGCCTCTCAACAAAAGATTGCTCCAGGCACTGCCAGGCCATTCATATGCTAATCGAGGTGATCAGTTGAAACATTCACACCTAGGGTTAGAGCCCCTAGCCTTCTCCTGGGAAAAATGTATAGTATCACATAGGACGACCACCTCTGCACCAAAACAGGAGCTTTTTTGTTGAGTTCAGGGCCAGAGAAGCAAAAGGCAAAAACAGAACAGCCTCAAGGGAGCATGCTTGCTCTGTCCATGTTTAACATTTACACAAATGGGTTGTTGTAGGTTTTTTTCGGGCTATATGGCCATGGTCTCTAGAGGCTTTCTCTCCTGACGTTTCACCTGCATCTATGGCAAGCATCCTCAGATGTAGTGAGGTCCGCTGGAACTAGGAAGAAGGGTTTATATATCTGTGGAATGATGACCAGGGTGGGACAAAGGACTCTTGTCTGCTGGAGCTAGGTGGGAATGTTTCAACTGACCAGCTTGATTAGCATGTAATGGCTTGACAGTGCCTGGAGCAAACTTTTGTTGAGAGGTGATTAGATGTCCTTGTTTGGTTCCTCTCTGTTGTTGTGCTGTTGATTAGCTATATGCTAATCAAGGTGGTGTGTGCTTGCTCCATCAATGTTTAATATTTACACAAATGATCAGCCACTGCCAGAAGGGGCATTTATTACAGTATGATGTTATAGTACAATGTAATATAGAATATTAAGATTGTGCTAGGATAATAATCTAATATATTGTATTCACTTTTTACTTGTAAGCCGCTCTGAGTCCCCTTCGGGGTGAGAAGGGCCGCATAGATAATAAATGTAATATTACTAATAATATTACAGGATATTATTATTATTATTATTATAGTACAATGTAATATAGAATATTAATATTGTGCTAGGATAATAATATAATATATTATATTTACTTTTTATTTGTAAGCCACTCTGAGTCCCCTTCGGGGCGAGAAGGGGGGCAAACGATTCCGGCCCAATTTACCTGTCCGAACGTATCCTCCCCTATGAGCCATCAAGATGACTAAGATCGTCTGGAGGGGCCCTGCTCTCGATTCCACCGGTCTCACCAGCGCGTCTGATGGGGACGAGGGACAGGGCCTTCTCAGTGGTGGCCCCTCGGCTCTGGAACTCGGGCAAACGACTCCGGCCCAATTTACCTGTCCCAACGTATCCTCTCCTATAAGCCATCAAGATTACTAAGAAAATCTGGAGGGGCCCTGCTCTCGATCCCACCGGCCTCACAGGCGCGGCTGGTGGGGACGAGGGACAGGGCCTTCTCGGTGGTGGCCTCTCGACTCTGGAACTCCCTTCCACTGGAGATCAGAACTGCCCCTTCTATCTTAACGTTCAGGAAACAGGTGAAAACTTGGCATTCAACGAACGAGCCATGATCCTGTGATATGGATGGATGACGACGGATAATGATTTTTGATGACGACTGACCACTGTAATTATAGGATTGTATTTTGCAATTTTAATGTTTTAGTGTGATTTAGAAATATGATGTTTGAATGACTGTCTGTAATATTGATGTTGGAAACCGGCCTGAGTCCCTCGAACGGAGGTGCGAAGACTGGTTTACAAAACTACCAAATAAATAAATAAATAAATAAAAAAGTCGTAAATAAATAAATTTAATATAATGCCAGGTTTTAAAACTTTGGGTTGTTGTAGGTTTTTCTGGGGTCTATGGCCATGTTCTGGAGACAATTTTTCTCCTGACGTTTTGCCTGTATCTATGGCAAGCATCCTCAGAAGTAGTGAGGTCTGTTGGAAGTAGGAAAAATGGGTTTATATATCTGTGGAATGACCAGGGTGAGACAAAGGACTTTTGTTTGTTGGGGCTAGGTGTGAATGTTTCAGCTGATCACCTTGATTAGCATTCAATGGCTTGGAAGTGCCTGGGGGGAATCCCTTGTTGAGAGTGATTTTTTGTGCCTGTTTGTTTCCCCTCTGTTGTTTTGCTGTTGTGATTTTTGAGTCCTTTAATACTGGTAGCCAGATTTTTTTCATTTTCATGGTCTATTCCTTTCTGTTGAAATTGTCCATATGCTTCCTGTGGATTTCAATGGCTTTCTCTGTGTCGCCTGACATGGTGGTTGTGAGAGTGGTCCAGCACTTCTGTGTTCTCCAATCATATGCTGTGTCCAGGTTGGTTCCTCAGGTGCTCTGCTATGCCTGATTTCTCTGGTTGGAGTAGTTTGCAGTGCAAATTACTCCAAGGGAAGTAGTCAAGGGAACCACTGACCGCATAGGGAAGCTGATGAGGAAACACAACATACAAACCACTTACAGACCTACCAGGAAAATCCAACAAATGCTCCGTTCAGCAAAGGACAAGAGGGATCCTCTACCATTGTATACCATGCAGCTGTGGACAAGTCCCCAGAGGGACCACCAAACGCAGCAGCAGCATTGCCCAGGCACGCATCAAGGAACATGAAACACACTGCAGACTATTTCAACCAGAGAAATCAGCCATAGCAGACCACCTGAGGAACCAACCTGGACACAGCAGATTATTATTGGAGAACACAGAAATGCTGGACCACACCAACAACCCTTGAAATCCACAAGAAGCAGGTGGGGAATTTCAACAGAAAGGAAGAGACCATGAAAATGAACACAATCTGGCTACCAGTATTAAAAAATTAAAAAAATTACAACAGCAAAACAACAGAGAGGAAACAACCAGGCACATAAAATCACTCTCAACAAAGGATTCCCCCCAGGTGCTTCCAAGCCATTGAATGCAAATCAAGGTGATCAGCTGAAACATTCACCCCAGCTCCAGCAGACAAGAGTCCTTTGTCTCACTCTGGTCATTCCACAGATATATAAACCCTTTTTCCTAGTTCCAACAGACCTCACTACCTCTGAGGATGCTTGCCATAGATGCAGGCGAAACGTCAGGAGAGAATGCCTCTAGACCATAGGTTCTCAACCTGGAGTCCCCAGATGTTTTTGGCCTACAACTCTCAGAAATCCCAGCCAGTTTTCCAGCTGTTAGGATTTCTGGGAGTTGAAGGCCAAAAACAACTGGGGACCCCAGGTTGAGAACCACTGCTCTAGACCATGGCCATATAGCCCGAAAAAACCTACAACAACCCATTCATCCCTAGCTCCAGCAGACAAGAGTCCTTTGTCCCACCCTGGTCATTCCACAGATATATAAACCCATTTTTCCTACTTCCAACAGACCTCACTACCTCTGAGGATGCTTGCCATGGATGCAGCCGAAACGTCAGGAGAGAATGCCTCCAGACCATGGCCATATAGCCCGAAAAATAGTAGAACAACAGAGTGATTCCGGCCATGAAAGCCTTTGACAATACTTTTAAAACTTTGTTGTGTTTTTAAATACTTCACCACTGTACCTTTGGTTTGCTTCTGATACAATAAATAAATAAATACTGATTGCCACTTGTGTCTTGGCCAGGTTAGGCTTCAGGTGGTTACCTTTGGAGTATCTGGAGAGCATGAGCAACTGTTTTCATGGCCAAGTCAAGTGCGCATGCGCACACTCAGGGCTCCGCTCCTCCGCTTTCTTTTGCTTCCGCGAGGGGGAGATGCCGGAAGTGGGCGTGGCCAGGCACCGGAAGCCGCTCTTGTCTTGCTCCTGCGCCCGCAGCTTGGCCTCCATTTTGCCTCAGAAGGAGCCGCCGAGGCGGGGAAGGGCCTCCGCTCTCCTTCCTCGGCCCAGGAAGGCCCAGCCAGCCGGGAAAGGTGAGGGGGAGCCTCGGGAGCGGCGGGAGGGCTGTTGGAGGGGGGGTTCTCCTTTCGCTACTCGAGCTCAGGCTTTGGGAGGGCCTCTAGGCCGCAAAAGGAGGCCTCGCCCCCCTCGCCCGCCCACTTCGGGCCCCCAAAAGGCGCCTCCAGGGCTGAGGTGGTCGTGAGGAGATGTATGTACACCCACAGGCCTTAATCACAACCATAAACAAAGAGCCAAGCAGGAAACAATCAGGGCCAGCTAACACCTCCCAACAAAGCAGGGGTTCTCAAGCTGTTTTGGCCTTCAGCTCCCAGAAATCCTAACAGTTGGTGAACTGGCTTGGATTTCTAGGAGTTGTAGGCCAAAACACATGAGGACACACAAGCAGCAAAGGATTCCCCCCAGGCAGGAAGCAGCCAGGCTTTGAAACTGCAAGGCTATTCAGTGCGAATAGAAACCCTAATAGTTGGATTTCTAGGAGTTGGAGGCCAAAAACAAGCTTAGGACCACTGCAGCAAAGGAGTCCCCCCCCCCTCAGGCAGGAAGCAGCCAGGCTTTGAAGCTGCAAGGCTATTCAGTGCGAATAGAAATCCTAATAGTTGGATTTCTAGGAGTTGTAGGCCAAAACACATGAGGACCCACAAGCTTAGGACCACTGCAGCAAAGGATTCTCAGCAGAGGGTCCAAAAGGACTCCCAGACTCTTGACCAACGATGACGGGCGTAGCGCCTGGCCATCCAGGGTAGGCAGCTGGATATCCCCACTGCCCAGTTGACCCAGCCATAGGATCTCCATCTTTGCTGGATTCACCCTCAACCTGCTGGCACGCAACCATCCAGTCATGGCCTCGAGGCACTGATGGAAACAATCGGGTACAGAGTCCGGCCGGCCTTCCATCTTCAGCACCAGCTGAGTGTCATCTGCGTACTGGTCACACTCCAGCCCAAAACCTCGAACCAGCTAAGCAAGTGGTTGAAGCTTCAAGGCTATTCAGTGCTAATTAAGCTGGCCAGTGGCAACATTGACACTTGCCTCAGACAGACAAGAGCTCCAGTGAGTAAGAACAATTTGTATATACCGTAAGCCTTAAGAACAATTTGTATATAAGCTACAGCTGTAATATAATAATCAATCAGGGCCAGCTAATACCTCTCAACAAAGCAGGAGTTCCCAAGCTCCCAGAAATCCTAATAGTTGGGTTTCTAGGAGTTGTAGGCCAAAACACATGAGGACCCACAAGCTTAGGACCACTGCAGCAAAGGATTCCCCCCCCAGGCAGGAAGCAGCCAGGCATTGAAGCTGCAAGGCTATTCAGTGCTAATTAAGCTGGCCAGTGGCAACATTGACACTTGCCTCAGAAGAGACAAGAGCTCCAGTGAGTAAGAACAATTTGTATATAAGCCTTAAGAACAATTTGTATATAAGCCACAGCTGTAATATATAATTTATTTGCGATATTTCTATCCCCCCTTTCTCAAAAACCAGATGTGATGCAATATAAATAAGGCAAACTACAATTTATAAATAAGCCACAAAAATAATATATAAGACATAACAATTTATAAACAAGCCACAAAATAATGTAGAAGTAAAATATAGGAACAATTTATATATGAGCCACAATTTAAATAAGCCTTACCAGTTATATATTAACAAAGTATAACAACAATTTATAAATAAGCCACAAAAATAATATAGAAATGAGACATAACAACAATTTATATCTGAGCCACAATAGAAATAAGACATAGGAGTAATATATAAATTAGGCATAACAGTTTATAAATTCACCATAAAAATAATATAGGAATGAGATATACCAACAATTTATATATGAGCCACAATATAAATAAGCCATAGCAGTAATATATAAATGAGGCATGACAACAATTTGTAATTAAGCCACAAAAATAATATAGAAATAAGACATAGCAACAATTTGTATATGAACCACAATATAAATAAGCCATAGCAGTAATATATAAACAAGGCATAATAGCAATTAAACCACAAAAATAATATAGAGATAAGACATAGCAACAATTTATTGCTTCAAACCACAAGAAAGGAGATTCCACCTGAACATGAGGAAGAACTTCCTGACTGTGAGAGCTGTTCAGCAGTGGAACTCTCTGCCCCGGGGTGTGGTGGAGGCTCCTTCTTTGGAGGCTTTTACACAGAGGCTGAATGGCCATCTGTCAGGGCTGATTTGAATGCAATTTACCTGCTTCTTGGCAGAATGGGGTTGGGCTGGATGATGGCCCAGGAAGTGTCTTCCAACTCTAGGATTCTATGAGCCACAATATAAATAAGTCATAGCAGTAATATATAAATGAGGCATAACAACAACTTATAAATAAGCCACAAATATATATATAAATAAAACATAGCACCAATTTATATATGAGCCACAATATAAATAAGCCATAGAAGTTATATATAAATGTGGCATAACAACAACTTATAAATAAGCCACAAAAATAATATAGAAATAAGACATAGCAACAATTTATATATGAGTCACAATATAAATAAGCCTCAAAAATAATATAGAAATACGACATAGCAACAATGTATGTATGAGACTCAATATAAATAAGCCATAGCAGTTCTATATAAATTAGGCATAACAACAATTTATAAATAAGCCACAAAAATAATATAGAAATAATATAATATAGAAATAATATAGAAATACAACACAACAATTTGTATATGAGCCACAATATAAATAATCCATAGCAGGAATTTATATATAAGGCATAACAATGTATAAATAAGCCATAAAATAATATAGAAATAAAACATAGCACCAATTTATATATGAGCCACAATATAAATAAGCCATAGCAGTAATATATAAATTAGGCATAATAACAATTTATAAATTAGCCACAAAAATATAGAAATGAGATATAGTTTGGGCCACGTGTTTTGTGGCAGTGTGTTTTGATTGTGCTGAAAGCAGCCACAATCTTTGAGGAGAGGTGGGTAATAAATCCAAGTATGTTGTTGTTTTTGTTGTTCTTGCTGTTGCTATTTATGAAAGCCCTGTCACGGACTCGGAGACAAACAGGTTAGTGAAGGGTTGAACTAGGCCAACAGCTTCGCCCAGAGCAAGATGGCTGCCTTATTTTCCAATCTGGATTGGCTTCTTGGGTTTATTTTCCTCCTTCCTCCCTGCAGTCTTCCAAGGTGCTTAATGCAGCATTGAAAGGGCTCCTCCTCCTGCGGAGCATTGAATTATAGTTTTCCAATGACATGTTTATGCCTCTGTGCATTGCTACTATTGCTCGTCCTTTTCCTTGACCAGCAAAGGCCAGTCTCTTTGTGAACAAGGCCCACCGTTCACGAGAAAAGCAGTTGCTAATGTTATTTACAGGGAAATGAAATGAATCACAGATGGTCTGAAGGCAGAGTCTTGACCCTGAGAGAATATGGGAAATAATAATAATAATAATAATAATAATAATAATAATAATAATAATTCAGACAGACCCTGAGTTTATTTATTTGTGGTATGGAAACCTTGGTGTTGTAAATAGTATGGAAACCTTAGTGTGGTATGGAAACCTTGGTGTTGTAAATAGTACCATCCTGAGAGTGAGTAGGCCGAAGCTTGTGAGAATTAGTAGGCCAAAAGCTAGTGTCTTCCTGAGGAGTATGAGGTAAACCTCTGTGAGAGAAGCCTCGTGTGAGAAAACTCCAGTGTGAAGGCTGCAGTATGTGTTTGTTTATTTGTGGTATGAAAACCTTGGTGTAAATAGTGCCATCCTGAGGAGAGTGAGTAGGCTGAAGCCTGTGAGAATTAGTGGGCTAAAAGCTAGTGTCGTCCTGAGGAGTGTGAGAGAAGCCTCGTGTGAGAAAACTCCAGTGTGAAGGCTGCAGTATGTGTTTGTTTATTTGTGTTATGGAAACCTTGTTGTTGTAAATAGTGCCGTCCTGAGGAGAGTGAGTAGGCCGAAGCCTGTAAGAATTAGTGGGCCAAAAGCTAGTGTCTTCCTGAGGAGTGTGAGGTAAACCTCTGTGTGAGAAACCTCCAGTGTGAAGGCTGTTTTGTGCAAAGCTACTATGTGTTTGTTTATTTGTGTTATGAAAACCTTGGTGTTGTAAATAGTGCAACCATATTATTTTACTACAAAGAAAAGCCTCTTAAGGAAGAGATAATTGATCTTTGTGGGGTTTTTTTCCTTTTTATTACATGGGGCTCCTTGTTCTGGGTCACACTGCTGCTAATAAGTTATTCTACTGTACATTTATGGGGTCTTTTGTCAATAAGCCCACTCACCCAAAAAGATTTGAGTCCTTCACCCCTAAAAGTAGATACGTTTGTATTTATTTTGCTTTATTTTCTTTGCATCCAGGTTGGCATTCAGCCTTGCCCTCTGTGAGCCTTTATTGTTGTTGTTGTTACTATTATTGTTGTTATTATAGTATTTCTTGATGCCCAACTTTTTCCCCATATTGGGACACAATACAGCGAACTTCCTCCTTCCTTGCTTGCTTTATTTCCTTTCCTTTTTTTCCTCCAAGGCAGCTGTAAACCTCTAAGAAGAGACCTTCCTTCCCATCTTTTTGGCTTTACCCTCCCCTGCCTTTCCAAGAAGTTTGACCCGACAATCCACAGCTATGTCTGACTTTGTGGAAAGCGAAGCTGAAGAATCTGAGGGAGAATACGGTGAAGATGGAGAAGTTGTGGCCAGGCCGACCAAGAAGTTTGTGGAGGATGAAGACGGTGAGTCTGAGCAGCTTTCTCATTGCTTTTATTGAACTGTGTTTGTTTTCCATTCTCCTCCTCAAGGCAGCTTGCAGATGAAACCAAAACACAGTCAAAACAGTAGAGAAAAATGATTGCATAGAAATAGAATGATGGAATCTGTGGTTTGTATTAAAATACATTAAAAAGTCACAACTATGTTGCATTATACAGCTCTTTAATAAGAGTTTGTTTTCGAATAAAGTACAAGCCTCGACAGTTTCTAACTTGAACCAGATCCTGAACCAGTGACTAACTGCTGTGATGGACTGGATGAGGCCTAACAGGTTGAAGCTTAATCCAGACAAGTCAGAGGTCCTCCTGGTTGCGGGGCCAACTGGGGTATTGGGTGGCAACCTGTGCTCGACGGGGTTACACTCCCCCTGAAGGCACAGGTCTGTAGCTTGGGGGTTCGTCCAGGATTCAACGCTGTTGCTTGATGCTCAGGTGTCAGCGGTGGCCGGGAGGGCCTTTGCATAACTCAAACTTGTGCGCTAGCTGCGACCATACCTCGTGAACTCTGACTTGGTTACATCCAGACTGGACTACTGCAATGCGCTCTATGTGGGGCTGCCCTTGAAGACGGCCCGGAAGTTTGAACTGGTACAACGAGCGGCAGCCAGGCTCCTTATTGGAGCAAACTAAAGGGAGCATACAACACCCCTATTAAAACAGCTTCATTGGCTGCTGATAAGTTGCCGAGCCAAATTCAAGGTGCAGGTCATGACCTATAAAGCCCTAAATCAGTGGTTCTCAACCTTCCTAATGCCGTGACCCCTTAGTACAGTTCCTCACGTTGTGGTGACCCCCAACCATAACATTTTCATTGCTGCTTCGTAACTGTAATTTTGCTACTGTTATGAATCGTAATGTAAATAGCCGATATGCAGGATGTATTTTAAATTTGAATACTGGTGGAGTTGGGGGAGGATTGATTTGGGAGCTGTAGTGGCTGGGATTTATAGTTCACCTACAATCAAAGAGCATTCTGAACACCACCAATGATGAAATTGAACCAAACTTAGCACACAGAACTCCCATGCCCAAGAGAAAATACTGGGAGGATCTGGTGGACATTGACCTTGAATTCTTGGAGTTGTAGTTCACCTACATCCAGAGAGCACTGTGGACTCAAACAATGATGGATCTAGACCAAACTTGGCATGAATACTCAGTATAGATCAATAGGTTTGGTAGGCATTGACCTTGAGTTTGGGAGTTGTAATTCACCTACATCCAGAGAGCACTGTGGACTCAAACAATGATGGATCTAGACCAAACTTGGCATGAATACTCAATATTCTGAAATGTGAACACTGGAGGAGTTTGAGAAAAATAGACCTTGACATTTGGGAGTTGTAGTTGCTGGGATTTATAGTTCACCTACAGTGAAATAACGTTCTGAACCCCACCAACAATAGAATTGGACCAAACTTCCCACACAGAACCCATGACCAACAGAAAATACTATGTTTTCTGATGGTCTTTGGCGACCCCTCTGACACCCCCTTGCGACCCCCACAGGGGTCCCGACCCCCAGGTTGAGAAACACTTCCCTAAATGGTCCGGGCCCTGCCTATCTCAGCAATCGCATTTCCTTCTATGAACCGGCACGAGCTCTAGGATCTTCCGGGGAGGCTCTCCTCTTGGTCCCACTACTGTCTCAAGCGCAGTTGGTGGGGACGAGAGAGAGGGCCTTCTTGGTGGTGGCCCCCACCTCTGTAACACCCTTCCAAAGGAAATAAGACAGGCCCCGTCCCTCCCTTCCTTTCGTAAGAGCTTGAAGAGACCTGGTGGTTTGAACAAGCTTTTGAAAATGATTAGTTCTAACTCAGTCTTACACATTGTCGAATGCGGCCTTATTCTTCCTACCATTTACCCAGATCACTTCCTCTAATCGGCCCCGGAATGAACGGCCACAGACCCGTACCTAATATTATTGCTGCCTGCCATAGCATTGCACTTAATTCCCGGGCCCCCGAGAATTTTGGGGCTTGCACGAATCTTGACCCGGCCTTTTAATTTTTTTAAATGCCTTGAACAGGCAGGATTACTTTTAATATATGCGTGTTATGGTGACATTTTTTATGCTTGTTTTGTTAATCTTACGGTTATGTTGTTTTACTTTGTATGTTTTGTGATGTTACCTGGGAACCGCTCTGAGTCCCCTCGAGGAGATGGAGCAACATATGAATAAAGTTATTATTATTATTATTATTATTATTATTATTATTATTTTCTGTATTCAAGCTCATTCAAGGCACAACACACTTCTCTAGCAGTCATTCCTCAACTGACATTCCCTGACTGTCATTTAGACTGTCATTGAGTCAGTCGCGTGACCTGCAGCCCCTCCCACTGCTCTAGGTATATAGAGATAAGGAAATTGCCAATCAAATAAGACACATATATCAGGTTATTATAAAACAGATAAACTTCATATAGAGGGGGCTTGAGAAGGTTGCTTCCTCCAACACTATTGGCTGTATTTCAGAGCTAGGAATTCATAAATCAATCTCCTTTTCTAATAAAACCTTGTGAAAAATAAATCCATAACTTGAAAGCATATACAAGGCCTGGCCTTAGTTCCTTTCCCCCCAAATGCTGTGTATTAGAATTTCCGTAGCATAAGGATAGAGGCCTTTTTGGGATGTCATTCCCAGAATCCCACTACATCCCAGCCTTCTCCTTCAATCTCCATTTCTTTCTATCCTTTTATTTTTCCTTTCTCAGAGGAGGAGGAAGAGGAGAACCTGGATGACCAGGATGAACAAGGGAACTTGAAGGGCTTCATTAACGACGATGACGACGAAGAAGAGGAGGAGGAGGAGGAGGGCAGCGACTCGGGGGACTCGGATGACGAAGTGGGGCGGAAAAAGCGGAAGCGCAGTAAGTGACGGCGGACAGTGGGGACGCCATTCAGGGAAGGGCGGGTCATTCCATCTCAACAGCCCGACTTTTCACCTCTCCATAGATTTTGATGATCGCCTGGAGGACGATGACTTCGACCTCATCGAGGAGAACTTGGGCGTCAAAGTTAAACGGGTGAGTTGCGTTCTCTTAATCTTGAAGAGAGCACCTCGATCTTTAATTTCATTTCATTTAGCCTTTTCTGAATGGTCTCAAATGCCAGAGAAATAATAATAATAATAATAATAATAATAATAATAATAATATCAAGGCAGTGTGGATAATCCAGTTCAAAGCGGATATTGTGGGATTTTCTGCCTTGATATTATGGGATATGGGGCTGTGTGGAAGGGTCCTTTCTGAGGGAAAGGGGTGAGGTAAAGACGGAAATCCTGTGGAGACTGAGGGCCCTTCCACACATGGATTTATGGCAGGGTGGCCCTTCCTCACAGCCCTATAACCCGGAATATCAAGGCTTTGAACTGGGTTATCTGAGTCCACACTGCCATATATCCCAGTTCAAAGCCGATAATGTGGGGTTTTATTCAGCTGTGGGGAAGGGCCCGCCATTGATGATTTCTGAGGTAAAGAAGTGTGAAATCTCCCAAATGACATCCCATTGAGACTGAATGTATGACTTCCTGAGGTTAAAAAGTGTAAAATCTTCCAAATCACATCATGTCGAGTATGAATTGACGACTTTCTGAGGTAAAAAGTTCCACCTCGTAATTAAAGATCTACTGGGGAGGCCCTGCTCTCGGTCCCACCGGCTTCGCAAACGCGTCTGGTGGGGACAAGGGACAGGGCCTTCTCAGTGGTGGCCCTTCGCTTGTGGAACTCGCTCCCCAGATCGGCATCCTCACTCCTTTCTTTTAGAAAAAAACTAAAATCGTGGTTGTGGAGCTAGGCCTTTGGCTAGTGGGCATAATAAATAGTAATAATAATAATAATAATAATAATAATCTTTATTTGTACCCTGCTACCATCTCCCCAAGGGACTCCATGCGGCTTACATGAGGCCGAGCCCACAATACAACAATACAAGCAATAACAACAACAATACCTTTTCTGAATGGTCTCAAATGCCAGAGAAATAATAATAATAATAATAATAATAATAATAATAATAATAATAATCTTTATTTGTACCCCGCTACCATCTCCCCAAGGGACTCGGTGCGGCTTACATGAGGCCGAGCCCACAATATATCAATACAAGCAATAACAACAACAATAAAAACAATTACATTTGGCCCAGCCATGTATTTTAAATGTGTGTAAGCATGCATTTAGAGGACATAATGCTGAGAGTTCATTATTCTGGGAAGGCACACTGGAACAGCCACGTTTTCAGGCTCCTCCTAAAGACTGCCAGAGTTGGGGCATGCCTCATGTCCTTGGGAAGTGAGTTCAAGAGTCGAGGGGCCACCACCGAGAAGGCCCTCTCCCTCATCCCCACCAATCGCGCCTGCGATGGAGGTAGGAGCGCGAGCAGGGCCTCTCCAGATGAACGAAGAGATCGTGTGGGTTCGTACACAGAAATTTTATTATTTATTTATTTGGAGTGCTTCTACCCCGCCCTTCTCAACCCCCTAGGGGGGACTCAGAGCGGCTTACAAAAGGCACAGTTCAATGCCCAACAGTTTTACAAAATACAATATACAAAATACAATATAACAACAACAGTTATAACTAGTTAAAACAGTCAAATTAATACAATAGCAGCAATAAAATCATCTTGTGGTCAATGTTCGTCAATTCATAAATCCATAATCCATCCAGCATCCTCATTGTCCTTTCCTACTCTGGTCGTTATTGGTTGTCTTTGTCCATTTGCCAGCTTACCCGAAGGCCTGGCCCCACATCCAGGTTTTTAGCTTCCTTCTGAAGGAGAGGAGGGATGTTGATGTCCTAATTTCCACGGGGAGCGCATTCCACAGGCGAGGGGCCACCACCGAGAAGGCCCTGTCCCTCGTCCCCACCAGTCTCACTTGTGATAAAGGTGGGGCCGAGAGCAGGGCCTCCCCAGAAGATCTTAAACTCTGAGGTGGGACGTAGAAGGAAATACGTTCGGACAGACAGAATCTTATGAAGTGGAAATGATTGATTTGGGGGATGCAAAGGTTGATCAGGTTCCAGCAGCCCTGAGGTTATGCGTAGATTTATTTATTTATGTATGTATTTATTTATTTACCATATTGATATTCTGCCTTTCTCAGCCCGAAGGCAACTCAAGGCAGTTTACAATCAGCATAATTGAATGCCCCCGAAAACATAAAATATAATTAAAAATATTAACATAGAATATAAACCATATAAAAATAGAAACTATAAGAACAACAACAATAGATAAGATTTTAATGCATGCGCAAAACCACATATATACACAAACACACATATATACGCATATACACAAACATATATACACACACAAAACACATATTCACAGACTGGGCCACAGCAATGCGTGGCACGGGGCAGCTAGTCTCGAATAAATCAATACACATCTCTCCGCAGCAAAAGTTCCGACGGGTGCGGAAGATGTCAGACGATGAGGACGACGAAGAGGAGGATCCGGGAAAAGAGGAGCACGAGAAGGAGGCCATTGCCGAAGAGATCTTCCAGGACGGAGAAGGCGAGGAGGGGGCCGAACCCGCAGAAGGCCCCGTTGTGGCCCCGGAGGAAGACGAGGAGGAGGACGAAGATGAGTCTGGTATGTTTTGCTCGTCGATGTTAGCCCAGTTACCATCATTGGCCCTACAACCACCTCACACAATGTTGGCTTGTAAGTACGTAAGCCTGCCTTCAACCCATCTTCCTCTCTCTGTGTTTTCTAGACATTGACGACTTCATTGTGGACGATGATGGGCAGCCCCTGAAGAAGCCCAAATGGAGGAAGAAGCTGCCTGGCTACACGGATGCGTAAGTCTTGAGTCACTTGTTACTCTCCTTGGGCCAAGTTTCAGCCAACCTCTTCCAAATGGAACAGCTATTGCTAGGTGAAGGATCGGATGTTGCCAGGTGAAGTGGCCCTCTTTGGTGTCACGGGGAATGAAAGGTGACATGTATGTTATGTCAGAAATATTAAAAATGAACTAGGTATCTTTTAATTACAAAAGGGTAAGTCAAACACTGAAAGAGCGAGTACGCTGAAGCCTCTCAGAGTCAGTGGGCTAAAGCTAGTGTCATCCTGAGGAGTGTGAGGTAAACCTCAGTGAGAGAAGGCTCCAGTGTGAAGGCTGCTGCCTGTTGTTAGTGGGCCAAAGCTAGTATCGTCTTGAGGGGTGTGAGGTAAACCTCAGTGTGAGAGAAGGCTCCAGTGTGAAAGCTGCTGCCTGTTGTTAGTGGGCCAAAGCTAGTGTCGTCCTGAGGAGTGTGAGTTAAACCTCAGTGTGTGAGAAGGCTCCAGTGTGAAGGCTGCTGCCTGTTGTTAGTGGGCCAAAGCTAGTGTCGTCTTGAGGGGTGTGAGGTAAACCTCAGTGTGAGAGAAGGCTCCAGTGTGAAGGCTGCTGCCTGTTGTTAGTGGGCCAAAGCTAGTGTCGTCCTGAGGAGTGTGAGGTAAACCTCAGTGTGTGAGAAGGCTCCAGTGTGAAGGCTGCTGCCTGTTGTTAGTGGGCCAAAGCTAGTATCGTCCTGAGGAGTGTGAGGTAAACCTCAGTGTGTGAGAAGGCTCCAGTGTGAAGGCTGCTGCCTATTGTTAGTGGGCCAAAGCTAGTGTCGTCCTGAGGAGTGTGAGGTAAACCTCAGTGTGAGAGAAGGCTCCAGTGTGAAGGCTGCTGCCTGTTGTTAGTGGGCCAAAGCTAGTGTCGTCTTGAGGGGTGTGAGGTAAACCTCAGTGTGAGAGAAGGCTCCAGTGTGAAGGCTGCTGCCTGTTGTTAGTGGGCCAAAGCTAGTGTCGTCCTGAGGAGTGTGAGGTAAACCTCAGTGTGTGAGAAGGCTCCAGTGTGAAGGCTGCTGCCTGTTGTTAGTGGGCCAAAGCTAGTGTCGTCCTGAGGAGTGTGAGGTAAACCTCAGTGTGAGAGAAGGCTCCAGTGTGAAGGCTGCTGCCTGTTGTTAGTGGGCCAAAGCTAGTGTCGTCCTGAGGAGTGTGAGGTAAACCTCAGTGTGAGAGAAGGCTCCAGTGTGAAGGCTGCTGCCTGTTGTTAGTGGGCCAAAGCTAGTGTCGTCCTGAGGAGTGTGAGGTAAATCTCAGTGTGTGAGAAGGCTCCAGTGTGAAGGCTGCTGCCTATTGTTAGTGGGCCAAAGCTAGTGTCGTCCTGAGGAGTGTGAGGTAAATCTCAGTGTGTGAGAAGGCTCCAGTGTGAAGGCTGCTGCCTCTTAAGAGTTAGTGGAACAAAGCTAGTGTCGTCCTGAGGAGTGTGAGGTAAATCTCAGTGTGTGAGAAGGCTCCAGTGTGAAGGCTGCTGCCTATTGTTAGTGGGCCAAAGCTAGTGTCGTCCTGAGGAGTGTGAGGTAAACCTCAGTGTGTGAGAAGGCTCCAGTGTGAAGGTCACTGCCTGTTGTTAGTGGGCCAAAGCTAGTATCGTCCTGAGGAGTGTGAGGTAAACCTCAGTGTGTGAGAAGGCTCCAGTGTGAAGGCTGCTGCCTATTGTTAGTGGGCCAAAGCTAGTGTCGTCCTGAGGAGTGTGAGGTAAACCTCAGTGTGAGAGAAGGCTCCAGTGTGAAGGCTGCTGCCTGTTGTTAGTGGGCCAAAGCTAGTGTCGTCTTGAGGGGTGTGAGGTAAACCTCAGTGTGAGAGAAGGCTCCAGTGTGAAGGCTGCTGCCTGTTGTTAGTGGGCCAAAGCTAGTGTCGTCTTGAGGGGTGTGAGGTAAACCTCAGTGTGAGAGAAGGCTCCAGTGTGAAGGCTGCTGCCTGTTGTTAGTGGGCCAAAGCTAGTGTCGTCCTGAGGAGTGTGAGGTAAACCTCAGTGTGTGAGAAGGCTCCAGTGTGAAGGCTGCTGCCTGTTGTTAGTGGGCCAAAGCTAGTGTCGTCCTGAGGAGTGTGAGGTAAACCTCTGTGTGTGAGAAGGCTCCAGTGTGAAGGCTGCTGCCTCTTAAGAGTTAGTGGACCAAAGCTAGTGTCGTCCTGAGGAGTGTGAGGTAAATCTCAGTGTGTGTGAAGGCTCCAGTGTGAAGGCTGCTGCCTCTTAAGAGTTAGTGGACCAAAGCTAGTGTCGTCCTGAGGAGTGTGAGGTAAATCTCAGTGTGTGAGAAGGCTCCAGTGTGAAGGCTGCTGCCTCTTAAGAGTTAGTGGACCAAAGCTAGTGTCGTCCTGAGGAGTGTGAGGTAAATCTCAGTGTGTGAGAAGGCTCCAGTGTGAAGGCTGCTGCCTATTGTTAGTGGGCCAAAGCTAGTGTCGTCCTGAGGAGTGTGAGGTAAACCTCAGTGTGTGAGAAGGCTCCAGTGTGAAGGTCACTGCCTGTTGTTAGTGGGCCAAAGCTAGTGTCATCCTGAGGAGTGTGAGGTAAGCCTCAGTGTGTGAGAAGGCTCCAGTGTGAAGGCTGCTGCCTGTTGTTAGTGGGCCAAAGCTAGTGTCGTCCTGAGGAGTGTGAGATAAACCTCAGTGTGAGAGAAGCCTGATTAATTGCTCTGCTGTACATTTATGGAGAGCTTCTTTCGTTAATAAGCACGCTTGTCCAACAAGGGTTATGGTCCTAACATATCCCAGTACAGACCAGTACAGACTTCAGGCTTGGGGTCCAGGCTCATTTTTCTCTTGTGATCAGAGCATGGAGGGATCTGGATATCTATCGTTTGTCTTACGTATCCCTCCGTGGGAGAATAGGGTTGGATTGGATGACCTTTGGGGGCCCTAATTCTAGAATTTTAAAGGTTAGATTAGGGTTCAGGCTGTTTCCTCCTGTTATCAGAGGATGCAGAGGGTATATAAATAATAATAATAATAATAATAATAATAATAATAATAATAATAATATACTTGAAACCATGTAGATGTATTTTGTACAGCAGACTTTTCCTGAGATGGGAGAATTGATAATGACTGTTGGTTTTACTGAAGGGTCTGTGGACTGTAATAAAATTGTTGTTGTTGTTGTTCATGTATGAGATTTGAAGTAATGACTTTCTTTTATTTATCTCGTGTCAGGGCAGCCAGTCAATTATATTACATTTCTAACAGAACAAAGCAAACAAACAGAGAAAATACAAAATGTGTGAGTTTGGTAGTGGATTAAATGTCCTTTGACCAGTATCTGGCCCCTTGGAGTGCCTCTGGTGTTGCCGCAAGAAGGTCCTCCGTTGTGCATGTGGCAGGGCTCAGGGTGCATTGCAGCAGGTGGTCAGTGGTTTGCTCCTCTCCACACTCGCATGTCGTGGATTCCACTTTGTAGCCCCATTTTTGAAGGTTGGCTCTGCATCTCGTGGTGCCAGAGCGCAGTCTGTTCAGCGCCTTCCAAGTCGCCCAGTCCTCTGTGTGCCCAGGGGGGAGTCTCTCATTTGGTATCAGCCATTGGTTGAGGTTCTGGGTTTGAGCCTGCCACTTTTGGACTCTCACTTGCTGAGGCGTTCCAGCGAGTGTCTCTGTAGATCTTAGAAAACTATGTCTGGATTTAAGTCGTTGACGTGGCGGCTGAGACCCAAACAGGGGATGAGCTGGAGATGTCTCTGCCTTGGTCCTTCCCGGCAGATGTCAGGTGGGGCAATACCGGCTAAGCAGTGTAATTTCTCCAGTGGTGTAGGGCGCAGACACCCTGTGATAATGCGGCATGTCTCATTCAGAGCCACATCCACTGTTTTAGTGTGGTGAGATGTGTTCCACACTGGTCATGAGTAGCAGCAGAGGAGCATAGCGCAAAGGCAGATGTCTTCACTGTGTCTGGTTGTGATCCCCAGGTTGTGCCAGTTAGCTTTCGTATGGTATTGCTTCTAGCATCCTCTTTTTGCTTGATGTTCAGGCAGTGCTTGTAGGTCAGAGCATGGTCCAGGGTGACTCCCAGGTATTTGGGTGCGCTGCAATGCTCCAGCGGGATGCCTTCCTTCCCAGGTAGTAATCCTCAGAGCTTGGGATACTTCTCTGTTCTTGAGATGAAAAGCACATGTCTGTGTTTTAGATGGATTAGGGATCAGCTGTAATAGGCAGTAAGAGCACCTAGAGCTTTGGAAAGCTTCTGTTCAACCATCTCAAAGCTCCCTGCTTGGGCGGTGATGGCACGATCATCAGCATAGATGAAGCTCTCTCTCCCTTCTGGCAGTGGCTGGTCATTTGTGTAGATGTTGAACATGGATGAGATCATGGAGAGATATGATAAGTTTCTCTGCTGTGCATTAATGAGGAGGGTCTTTTGTTATTAAGCCCCCTCACCCAACATATTAGGGCAAGGGAGGGAAGGAGGGAAGAGCCCCCAAGAGAACTGTGTTGCCAAAGAGACATTGTGTGGTAGGGCTGGAGAAGGGAGAGAGTAGGCTCTCTCTTAGGTGTTCAACTCACGCTCCTTTCTTTGTCCCGAATGGGGCTCCCCCAGGGCCCTCCAAGAGGCCCAGGATATCTTTGGCGTCGACTTTGACTACGATGAGTTTGAGAAGTACAACGAATACGACGAGGAGATGGAGGACGAGTACGACTACGAGCCGGAAGAGGCCGAGGGCGAGACCCGGGCCCGGCCCAAGAAGACGGCCAAGAAGCGGGTCAGCCGGCGCAGCATCTTTGAGCTCTACGAACCCAGCGAGCTGGAGAGCAGCCACCTGACCGACCAGGACAACGAGATCCGGGTGACGGACATGCCCGAGAGGTTCCAGGTGAGGCGTGGACCCTTTCCACATGGTCGGGCCTTCAAACCTCCGGAGCTGTTGTGGAATGCATCAGTCCCTCTCTTGACCTTTCCTCCTCCCAGTTGCGCACGATCCCTGTGAAAAACGCCGAAGACGACGAATTGGAAGAGGAAGCCGACTGGATCTACCGGAACGCCTTTGCCATGCCCACCATCTCCCTGCAGGTAAGCCCAGTTTGATTTAAGATCCTGGCTTCTCCTGGAGACTTACTCAGGTTCCATCACAAGGCCCTTCCAGTCAGGCCTTCTATCCCAGGTTTTGTGCTTTAAACTGGATTATATGAGTCCGCACTGCCAGATAATCTGGGATAAACAGAAAACCTGGGATCAGATCCTGGGATAAAGGCCCTCAGAGGCAGAGTGAAGGTGGCTTCCATTGCTCTGCCAGAGCTTGGGGAAAAGTTACTTTTTTGGACAATAGTTTCTGGGAATGTTATCTAATATTATCTGTATGCTTGTCTACTATGCCCTGCCTCATGCACAGACGAAGAATTGTACTTACGGCAGGGCATAGTGGACAAGCATACATGAGTCTGCACTGCCAGATAATCTGGGATAAACATAAAACCTAGGATCGGATCCTGGGATAAAGGGCCTGTCTGGAAGGGCCCTCAGAGTGATGATGGCTTCCATTGCTCCTCCAGGGCTTGGGGAAAAGTTACTTTTTTGGACAATAGTTTCTGGGAATATTTTCTAATATTATCTGTATGCATGTCCGCTATGCCCTGCCTCATGCACAGAGAAAGAATTGTACTTAAGGCAGGGCATTGTGGACAAGCATACATGAGTCTGCACTGCCAGATAATCTGGGATAAACATAAAACCTGGGATCGGATCCTGGGATAAAGGGTCTGTCCGGAAGGGCCTTTAGAGGCAGAGTGAAGATGGCTTCCATTGCTCCTCTAGGGCTTGGGGAAAAGTTACTTTTTTGAACAATAGTTTCTGGAAATATGATCTAATTTTTGTATGCTTGTCCTCTATGCCCTGCCTCATGCACAGAGGAAGAGTTGTACATGAGGCAGGGCATTGTGGACAAGCATACAGATAATGCCATTGCTGTTGCCTGTTTTTGGTCAAAAGATATTTAGCCGCCTGCGCTCCTTCTATTTATTCAATTTATGCAATAAATCTAAAAAAGTAACTCTTCCCAAGTTACTCTGTGCTTCCATTATATAGACTAGCTGTACCCTCCACACATTGCTGTGGCCAACCTTCCCTCCTTTTTTCTCTCCTTTACCTCCTTCCTTCGCTCCCTCTTTCCTTCCTTCCTTCCTTCCCTTTTTTTCTTTCCTTCTCTCCTTCTTTCCTTCTCCACCTTTCATTCCTTCCCCCCTTTTCTTTATCTTCCTTCTCTCATTCCTTCCTTCACTTTTTGCTTCCATCCTTCCTTCGCTCTTTCCTTCCCTCCCTCTTTCTCTCCTTCTTTGCCTCCTTCCTTCTCTACCTCTTTCCTTCCTTCCCCCTTTTTCTCCTTTCTTCCTTCTCCACCTCTTTCCTTCCTTCTCTATTTCCTGCATTTCCCTCTTTCTTTCTTTCTTTCTTTCTTTCTTTCTTTCTTTCTTTCTTTCTTTCTTTCTTTCTTTCTCCCCTTCTTTCCCTTCCTCTTTTCTGTATCATCATTTAGCTTTTTGAGGTTTTTAAGTTCTTTTCGCTGTTTTTTGGGGGGTTTATGAGTTATGGTCACTCATTGAGTTGTTAGGTGTCTTGTGTCCAAATTTCATGTCAGTGCGTCCAGTGGTTTTTTAGTTAAGTCAATCCCACAAACAAACATTGCATTTTTATTTATATAGATAGCTATCAATTGGTTTTAAGCGTTTCGACTCTTTGTTTTCAATACTGTTGATGTCTAATTCCATTTTAATGTGTGTTTATATTAATGTGTGTTTACCAGTTGTATTGGTTTTGCCGTGGGCCACTTTGAGTCTTTTTTAGAGAAGAAAAACTGGGGTGTAAATAATAATTAATAGCATTTAAGGGATTTTTCTTCTGCTCCTCAGCCACCGAGGTACGCAGAGCGGCTTACGAAATGTTAATTTGCCCTCAGGCTTGCAATCTACGCCAGATAAATAAGATAAATAACTGATTAACTGCTGTTTTAAGGCAGCCTGGCTAGAAGGCCCGCAGATCCCAAAATGGATCCTAGGGAATCCACTCTCCTGCAAATGGATCTCTATGTGCTTAGATTGTCCATATTTTTATGAGATGTGTTTTGTTGTTTACTTTTTCGGCATTGAATTTTGGCCGGAATTGTAAGCCGCCTTGAGTCTCCTCCGGGGTGGAGAAAGGCAGGGTAGAAATGAAGTAAGTAAATAAATAAATACTGGATTTGTCCCCGCTTCCTTTCCTCCCTGTTCTGTCCGGCTCTGGCCATTGCAGGAGAGCTTGGAGTACTTGGACCGGGGCCAGGCCAGCAGCAGCTTCAGCCGCAAGGGACCCAGCACCATCCAGAAGATCAAGGAGGCCCTCAACTTCATGCGCAACCAACACTTTGAGGTGAGAGAGAAGGCCAGGGGACTCCAATGGACACCCACCTGGACAGGTTGAATGACAAGTTTTAAGCTTCCACTTTTTTGTGTGTATTTTTGTGGAAATATATTTTAATATTAATGTGTGTATTCTACTGAGTATTTTTCAATGTTGTAACCCACCTCGAGCTGTGAGGAGAGGCAGGGAATAATAATAATAATAACAACAACAACAACAATTATTTTATTTTATTGACAACATTTATATGCCACCCTTCTCACCACAAAGGGGGCTCAGAGCGGCCTACAAGACATATATATACACACAAAACACTATGTTGTACATTCTTTGGAATAACAACAGCTGTTATAGAACTCCAGTATGCTGATGACAATGTCGTCTGTGCGCATTCAGAAGAAGATCTA